CAACATAAACTTCAGTGTCTAGCACTCTGCCAGGTGGTCAGTAAATATTTATGGAACTGAAGAACCACATGAAGCCATATTACCTTGGCCAGGCACTTAACCTTCCTATTTCTTGGGTTTCTCTCCCTCCTTTTCCCCCCTCTTCCTTTTTTATTTTTTATCTATTTATTGTGTGTTACTGGGGATTGAACCCAGAGCCTCACACATGAAAGGCAAGTGCCCTATTACTGAACTACATCCTCACCCCTTTCTCATGTTTCTTGGAAATAAAATTGGGGGTTGGATATATCATTCTTAAATTTTGGTACCCGTCATTCCAATGACCTATCTAAAATGGGTCTTTGTTTACTTCTTTCAACACGCCTAAGGTCTTTCAGCTTCCAAATACCAAGATTTAAAAATATATTGTACAGACTGGGGATGTAGCTCAGTGGTAGAGCACTTGCCTAGCATGTGTGAGGCCCTGGGTTCGATCCCTGGTATGGCCAAAAGAAGTAAAAATATAATGCAGCTGTTATTCATAATGCTGTCAGGATTGGATTCATGGCCCAGCATAGAGTTTGTTTGAAAGGCRTAATTGTGTGTGAGACATATAGGAATTGGTTGTAGTTGCTCAGTAGTGCATCCAAATCTATGGAATTATGAAGTAACTTTTAGAAGAGTTTTAGGAATCTAGCAAAACTAGTAGTGATTTTGCTGCTGTAGAACATAGTTACAAACATTTCTTCTTCTATAGAGAATGATCTGAGTAAAGGCAGAGTAAGGGAGTGTAAAATAATGGAGGAACCTATACTTCAGAGGTAGGATTTTATTCTAATGGGAAGGAAACCTTAAGGGGACTTTGACTAACGGAGGGATGATCAAAAATGTCAGTTTCTTTTTAGGAAGTTCATTTTGAGAGGAAAATAGAGAATGGGTTGGAGATTGGGAGGAAGAAGTTGATTTGTTTCTTTGCAGTCATCTAGCAACYCATCTATCTTTCCATCTGCCCACCCAGCAAACAAACATTATGGAACACCTAGTTCGAAGAATAAAGCTTCCTAAATCAGATAGGCCTAAAGTTTAAATCCTGTCCTGTCATTCACTTACCTGTGTGATTCTGAGTGAATTATTTAATCTGTCAAGAATTTAACTTATTAGCTAAAGATAGGACAATATCCATTAAAACTTCATAGGTAGGTTGGGAGGATTCCAGTTAATAATGCTTAGTAAATKCTTGATGTTATGCAAGAAACTCAAAAACACTGAATAACTTTTAACTATTATCAGTGCTCACAGGCTGGAAACACAGATTTGTGGACTTTAATGAAATTGGGGCTTGCTAAAGCYTTGGGTACGAGCACCTTCATGAGGATGGGATTCAGTTTAGCRGACACTGCTGAACACGTTCTGCCTATACAGCCCCACACCAGCTGGTGTGGGAGGTGGCCCAGGTGGGTGCCTCCGGGAACTCACAGGGCTTCYTTTTAATGCCAGGCACAGTGTGTTAAATACTTTAGTCAGCTCAGTGGTAGAGGGTTAGAAACGATTTTTGGAGAAGGTGGGATTTGAGATGGGTCTCAGAGAATGGGCAGGTCTTCAGTAGGAAGATGTGGAGGTAAAAGGGCTCTTTAGGCTCAAGCAGTGAGTTTATGGAAGTCTGGAAACAGAAGAATGAGGATGTGTATTAAGATTCAAAGGGGCTGGGGATATGGCTCAGTTGGTAGAGTGCTTGCCTTGCATGCACAAGGCCCTGGGTTCAATCCCCAGCAACACACACACACACACACACACACACACACACACACACACACAGATTCAGGGAATATATGTAGGGTAGAATATGGAAACACTTATTTTAAGAGAATATACAGAAAGAAAGTATTGACATAAAGATGTGTGGTTTATTTTTAGTAAAAATTTCAGAATTTCATTCTGAAGATTTTTGAATTTTTTAAAGAGGTGCTCATAGGGAATTGAAAGATACTTGGGTTGTATTTGAAGAAGGAGAAGGAGGAGGCTACTTAAGGCTGTCTTAGTCTCTTTTCTGTTGCGGTAATAAAATACCACACACTGGATAATTTATAGGCAGCACGATTCCAGAGGCTAGGAAGTCCTAAAGGATGGTACTGCCATCTGGCAAGAGTCAGAGAGAGGAATCGAGGGAAGACTTATAACAACCCATTCCACTTCCTACCCATTCCTCTGTTTGTGCCATTAATCCATTCATGAGGGCAGCATCCTCATGATGTTATTCCTTTTAATGGTCTCACCTTGATACTATGGCATTGGAGGGGACATTCAACCCATAGCAAAGGCTATTGAAAGAGCTCAAGCAAGAGCTCTGAGAATCTGAGTGAGATCGCTGGAGGGGGAAAGGAAGGAWAGGATAAGAAACTTAACAGAAATAATATTGTGGGGACTTGGTGACTCATTTTTGTGGGGTGAGATGGAAGAGATGGGTTTGCTGAAATGGTAATGCTTTTGAGAATGGGCAGTAGTGGGAAGCGGTTTGGGAGGAAGGATGGCAGCTGCTTTGAATCTGAGGCACTCAGGAGACATCCCTCTGGAGGAGATTTCTACATGATGGCAGGTCTTTGGGTCAGACTACAAAGTGGGAGCAGGGCTRTAACAGAGGGCTCTCTGCCCAGAGGCCAGCGTGAGGTCAGGGAAAGGAGAAGATGGTCAGAAAGGTGGAGGACTCACCTTTGGAGAAGGACTGTTTGAGGCTGAGTAGCAAGAGAGGATCTAGTGACAGAGACAGGGAGAGGARTAGGAGAAAGGTGCAGGCATCCAGGAGGAGAGAGATTTTCAACAACACAGATGGTCAACAGCCTTAAGACAACAAAGAGGCGGTCCAAGTTGTTTATTGGCTGATGTGGTGAAGGCAGAATTTTAGGTATGCACATCCTTGGGTGGCCTAGCTGAAGTGGGAATCCTAGAGAGATTTTGATCATTTAGCAAAAGATTCATGTGAGAATCTTGGGATCATGGAAGACTTGGAGTCCATTTCCTTGGCCTTAGAATTTTTTTTTTTTTTTAACCTACCCCTTGCTTGAATCCTTCCTCAACAGTCAATTATCAGCTGGTTTGAAGTTTTGAATGTTCTCCTTTATATTCTAGAGTGCAGAATTAAGTGAAAATGGTCCCTGTCTAAAGAAAAGAGGCGTGTGTCCACCTGAGATGGCCAGGTGCTTGGTGTGTCTTTTCTCCAGTTCTATTTTGAGCAAATTAGTTGGGGTTGGATGTGGAGATCCTGGCTGTTCTTTCAACAGTGCAATCCTGGAAGACAGTGTATACCTGGGATTCTTGCCTCTGGACTGGAATTGGCCTGAGAGCAAGGAGGCTCCCCTGACAGATGAGCCCCTGAGTCTGCATGGGAGCCCCYGAGGCTTCCCCATCGGGGCAGGGCTGGTGTGGGGAGGCTTGATTGTCTTCATTCCATTCCCACAGCTCAACTTCTCCAATTGAAGCCAAAGAGCAACTTTCCTTTTCTGTGGTTTATTGTACTGAGTTGAGAGAGTGAGGGGACAYGGGGTAGTAGGGGATGGGAAGAGAACTTTGAGGATCCTCTTTTGAGGGAGGCATGTTGGACTTCCCCAAAATACAGTCACCGTGGACATTATAAATGAAATGTTAACATACATACTGTTTTAGGCTGAAGCAAAAACCTTGGGCCCTGTTTTTCTCCCCACATCCACTGGCCACTTAATCTTACCTTTCTCTGATCTCCTTTCCCTTCCCCAGCTTCTCTCCATACCATTGCTCCCCTGCTCTTCCTCCCCACGCTTGCTGGTCTCAGTGCTTGAATTTGTTGTACCTTCTCTCTGCTGAGGATGCCCAAGTGGAAGGTGTTGCTAGAGGGAAATGGTTTTCATTGCAAATGGGCCCCGTGGGACATCTGAGCTTGCAGCTGGAACTTCATGCAAATGCCATTTTCCTCCACCCTGCCCTCCGCCTCCTGGGAAGCTGGGATGTAGCTTCCGGAGAGTGCTCCCTGGGTTGTTCAGGAAGACTGCTTAGGTGTGTGGGACACTCKCCTTCTCATGCCCTACTCCTTGCTGCTTTGACTTTCCAGTTTCACATTTCCTTTCCCATTTCCCCTGCCTCTTTTTAATTAACCTTTGCCCTTTTCCATCTTTTTCCTTTCTCCTTCTCTCAATACAAAGAGGACACTCGCTAGAACTTAATTCAATTTCATCTCCCTTTTTTTCCTGTATCTCTCKTACTCCATTTGAAAACACAGCCTAAATGTCAATTAGTAACTTCATTTACAGACCGTCAGCCTTGGTATAATTGGATTTGGTGTTGTAGGAAGTTTCAGGCACTGCTGGAAAAGAACTTGGGGTAGGGGGATATGGAGTGTTAATCTCTACTCCTGGCAGAGGAAGCAGGAACCAGAATATTTTATAAGGAAATAATATGGTGTGGTTGAGCGACATCAGAAGCCCCAGGTTTTGTGTCTAGGCCCTCTGCAATCAGAGGACCATGCACTGGTCTTCATTTTTAAACACAGGGATTATGGCATTTGCCATYACTACTTTGATGGAATGTTTTAAAATCCCAGTGAAGTATGTCTTGGAATTACTTGAAAAATAGGATTATTATTGTTRTTTTAATATATAAATGTGTCCAAACAAAATAGCATGTGTAAAATGAGCTAACAGTATTTGATGATCTCCAATGATTCCTTCAGGTACTAGGCTCTGTTTTCCCTAAACATTTTTTTTTTTTTTTAAATAACACAAGTCGGGGCTCAATAATCAGTTGTATGGACAGATATCTAAATATCTAATTTCCTTACATGCCCCTTCCTAGTCCCATGTCCCTTTTCACATTGACACTACTGCCCTCTCCTGGCCATCAGTGTTGTTACAGTATATAAGTCCATGGGGGGTGGCCCCTCTCCCTGGCTCCCAGAGCTGGCTCCTTTGCACCGTCTTTGGCCTGCAATCACTGACTGCCTACCTTTCCTCCTCCTCCCCTTTCCACCCCATCCCTTTCTCCACCTGCTCCTGCAGCACTGCCAGTAACTCCAACCGCAGCACGCCGGCCTGCTCCCCCATCCTCCGGAAGAGGTCTCGATCACCAACCCCGCAGAACCAGGACGGAGACACCATGGTGGAGAAGGGCTCAGATCATTCCTCGGACAAGTCCCCATCCACCCCGGAGCAGGGTGTGCAGCGCAGCTGTTCCTCACAGTCCGGCAGGAGTGGTGGCAAAAATTCCAAGGTGAGCTGGGCCACGCTAACTCTGTGCCTCTGTCGGGGAGGCAGAGAACACCTTCCTCAGATGGCTCAAGGGCCCCGTGTCCCCGAGGTTGTCTCTCCATGAGATGAGGGCAGGGTGAACAGGAAGAACCCTAGTTAAAAATCTTCCCAGCTAAGCACTCATGTTAGAGGGGTCATGGATTAGAAGATGATGCTCCATCCACCCTCTCTCTCTTTGGGAGCTAAGGAGACTCATGTCCCTTGAGATCTGGAAGAGAGATGCTTAAGGGATTGGAGGAGGGGTCATTTATTCATCTCTGTTACAGTCTTCAATTTTGGTCCTCAGAACTGGAGTAGAAGGGAGCATTATCTGAGGACAACTGTGTTCCCAGGGAGATAGTAGATAGTCTTCAGAGAACTTCCCAGAATGCTGTTTTTAACCTCTTTAGCCACCATCCTGCCTCATCTTTGTACTCACCCACTTGGTACTCATCTGGCGGAGAGGGCAGTGAAAGGGCTTTTCCATCCCTTTTAGGCATGTCCACCTGAACACCAGGGCCCCTACCCCCAAGGATATGCACAAAGCCCCAGATTGGTTCTGGTTTCCCACAGAGTTCCCCTTTACCCTTGGTCCTTTGGGAAGCAGGAGGCATACYTGCTCAGGTGCTCCTTCAGGAAGCTTCTCTTCACCAACTGACTCCCAGGACCTGGGAAGGGGCTGGGGACCCCAGGGAGGCATGGGTACTGGTTTCCCACCTGAATTTGTCTTTTGATTTCTTGTTCTTCCTCTTCTTCCCCACCACTTCCCAAATACCTTCTTTGCATGCATGGTCTTAGTCTCACAAGCGCCTCTCAAAAGTAAGCCATCTTTTGTCTCTGTCTTTTTTATCTCCCCTCTAGTGTTGAATTGTCTGTAGTGCTCAGCATCCCTGCCCTCTGCCCCAGCCAATTCTGCCCATGTGTCCTGCTTGGTCCCTTTCCCAGAAGGGCCGGCCCCATTGTTCCCTGGAAGGCTGGCTTGGAAGTAACTGGGCCCATTCCTATTGCACCTGAGGTCGGAGAACAGACCCTGTCCCTGCTCCCCCATGTCTGCCTGCTCCCCGAACACTGCCTCTGGTTGGAATTTATTCCTTCCTTATATGGTGCCTTCTCGAAGCAGAGTCTGGCAGAGGGAGTTTCATTCCTGGGTGGGGTACGCCCCATCCTGTCATATTACAGGTCCCTATGGCCCCTTGGTGGGTGAATCTGGCTTCTCTGGCAGTAGTGATTTGAGATGGGCAGGAAGGACGTGCTGACGGAGGTCAGGAATTCAGGTCAATGAGTTCTCTGGTGCAGCAACAGCAACTGCAGGAACTCTGCCAGGCATGTTCCTTCCCCCCCCACCTCCCTCAGAGAGCTACTTAGCTGGGGCACCTCTCACTGTTTCCACCCACTGCCCAGACCAGGGCCCCTCACTGCTTCCACCTACTACCCAAGGATCTGGGTTTATGGTGTTAAGATCCCGAGTCTTGATCAAAGAGGGCGCAGAGATACACCTGGAGATTTAAGAATGTTGACAGTAACCCAGGCAGGCCCTGGAGGATGGGAGCAGGGCAGGAAGACAGAGTCTTTCCCAGACCTAGGATCTCTGAGGCCTGAAGGGAATTTGAACAAATGTTGGGTAAGCAAAAGGTGTTGTAGAGCCCCGAGGAATGGTTGCAGCTAAAAGAAGTGGAAGCTAAGGAAGGATGCCTTGTAACAGCTCCAAGTCCCTGTAGGTGCCTTGGGGAGAAGGAGAATGGCAGCAGTTCTTTCCTGCTGGAAGAATAAGAATTCTGCATTCTGTGACCTTTAGCCTGGAAGCACAATGTAGATCTGAGGATGTTCAATGATGACAGATAGCCGGTTGTGGACAGGGGAGGAAGCCAGCAGGAACTCTCTGGGTTCAAGTGGTGGGACAGGTGCAGGCATGGCTGATTTCTGAAAATGGGGTTTGGTGTGACCTTCATCTGTCCCTCCAGAGTGCTTGTACCTCTGCCATAGTTGATATGATAGTGCTCAAGGCCCAGTTGAGGGGAGGGTTGGTCTGATTGGATGTGGACATCAGGTTATTCTTCCTCTTTGCTTCACCCACTTTTCCATCCTAAGAAGATGTTTTATGGTATTTGGTGGGCACTGTGATTCTTACTGATGTCACTGGTCACCACTTAAAGAGTATGTGCTTTGGGTGGAAGATGGGTTCAATAGGCAAGAACCCAGTAATGAGGATTGATTTCAATCTTCAAAGTGTTGGTCTTTTGGGGGGAAACCAGGCCTACAATTTAATTTTGGAGGTGTAGACAGTGTTGCCCAGATTATATACAAACCAAACCTGATTTAAAATCTCACAAGTAGGCAGGTATGATGGTATATACCTGTGATTCCAGTGACTAGGGAGTCTGAGGCAGGAGAATCACAAATTTGAGGCCAGGCTCAGCAACATAATGTGGCTTGGGGATAGAGGCCCTTGTGGTAAATTCCTAGAAAACCCCCCTCCCCCCAAAAAAGGGAAATGCCAAAACAAAAACCATAAGTATTTCAAGATATATGAATTGACAGGCAGGAGAAATCACTGAGTTTGGGTAGTCAAGACACATTGCAGAAAACAGGTAGAATCAGAGTAGGGGTTTGGAGAGGCATTACAAAGGAATTGAGAGGTGATCTGTGAATCAAAAGCTAATCTTGGCCCCCACTTCCTAAGGAGCTGAGGTGTGGGAGGTGACTGAGCCATTGTGTTTTTCTCTCCCTTTGAGGAGAAGGGACTGAAGCAGAACCATCCAGATAGACACACTCATTGAGTTCCCTGGCTTGGAACACCCATTCCCCTCCCCGTTTTCCCACCAGTCATGACCATCACTCTAACCCTGCTGTCCTCTAAACAGAGTGAAAATAGGACCATGGTCCATCTGGGGCATGCATGTGCGAGACACACAGACTGCAAAAGAGGGACGTGGGAACCAATACAGGAAAAAGGTTGCATGCAAGCCAGGGCTGGAACAGATTGTGAGGGAATGCTGCAGGGGCGAGGCCCAGTGTGGGGTGTCCTGGTAGAGTGGAGACACACCAACATTCCACGGAACATCTTCCCAGGTTGACCAAATATGTCCATAGTGAGGAATCTGAGAGCCAGAGCTGTCAGTGTTATAATCATAGCTAGGYCACCTCACTCCCTATCTCCTGTCCATCCTCTAGGAAAGATCACATCACCTCTTGTGTTTTCCATTTAAGCTAAGAATGCCTCCTCTTCTCCCCAGAGTGAGAACTAATGCCCAGTCTCTTTTCTTCTCTGGCCTCTATTTATTCATGTTGGGGTTGAAATAGGCCATCCCTAAGGTCTCACACTCTTGAACTTTATGCAATAGAGGTTGTTGCTTTCTTCTTTCCAGAGCATAGGCTAGGGAACTCAGGCTGACCCCACTCCCAGGAATCCCTGCCCTTGCTCCACCATCCAGACCTCACTTGGTAGTGACAGCCTATACCCACTAGAGGGAGCCAAGGCCTGCTTTCCTGCGCCCACCTACTCCTGGAAGCAACCTATCCTCCCCTGCCCTGACCTGCCTAGGTGGTGCCAAGGCGATGGGGACAGTACGTTCTTGGCTTTGGCCCTCCATTGCACCTCTCTGGGTGCATAGCATCACCCTGTGCTGTGGTGCTAGTGCTCCTTTGACATTTTTTCCCTTTTGAAAATATTTCTAATTTCTGTGGTTTTCTTGGTTTTCTTGTCAGTATGACAGACTTAACCTGATCAAAGTAAGATTTTTTTTTTTTGGTCTCTAACTGCTACTAAATGTAGAGCTTGTAGTCCTCATCCACCCCAGCCCCACCCAGCCCCACCTCCACCCCAATCCTGTCTCCAGGCTCTCTGAGCCTTGGCTCTGGAAGATGCTTTTGGATTTGGAGCAGGAGACCACCTTGAGGTGACTTGGGTCTRTTTTGGGGGGCTTAGTGTACCTTCCAGTCTGTGCTCTTTAGCTGCCTTCTAGGAAAGGCAATGGAAACACCAAATGAGCCCTGATCAATTCCTGTCTCTGACAGCTCTCTTTTCCCTACTCCTCCTTCACCTTTGGCCAAATTTGTGTATAAGCTAAAGGAACCCCACTTCCCCTTCCCTAGTTCTGCCCCTTCTTCCCCTCTGGTTCTGTCTTCCAAGTAGGGGTGTTCTAATGAGCTTACAAGGGAAGGTATCTGCCTTTTTCCCCTTCTCAATAGCCCAGGCTGGCAACCTCCCTGATTTCCCTGTAATTGGCTCCTTTAGGACTTAGTCCCAGGAATACACAGCCATGAAGATGTAATTGACCTCCAAGAGGTTGGTCAAGCTCAGAAACTTCTGCCTGCTATGGAGAGTCTCTGTGTCTAGTGTGGATTTTGCTGGAGGCCTAGGTCCTCATTTGCCTCAGAGGCAATCTCAGTGATGACAGATGAGAAGCTGATCAGAGTTAGCTGGTTAGGGGTAGAGCCAGGAGTCCTTGCTCTGGATGGTGTATTTCACATTTCTTTTTATTTGAGAATACCTGTTTTCATCTACCTTTTTCAAAAGAGCAAATATTAGACACAACGTTATCACAGAGCTAGTTAGAGATGAGACAAAAGGGGTTTTCTGGTTAAAGCTTTTTGTGATGCCTGAAACTCTTTGTTCCATACAGATTCAGAAGGGGCAGGAGTCTTGATGTCAGTGCATAGAAGGGGAAAGTCTTTTCTTTCTACATGGGACAGGAGGGAGGGCACCATGGAGAGAAATCCCAAAGAATCTAGGATCTCCCACCCCATACCAGTTCCAGTTGTCCTCTTTGCTCCTAGGGTCTTATACAAAGGCCAGGACAAGGAATGAGACAGCAGGTGCAGATGATAGGAACTTTTCTCATCTACAAAGCAGACGTCTGATGACCTGGTTTGGTATTAATGAAGTTCAAGGAAACGGTGGGGCAGTTGAGGCAGCAACTCCAAGAATGCACCTTCCTAATATTGGGAAGTGCATACTGTGACTGCACAGCCCCATGCTCTGTGGTCTCAAGTGTGAGCACCCAGAAAGTAAGACACCCCGAGGCACAGATCAAGTTAGATGCAGCCTGCTTGTCCCATCCACCCTCTCCAGACATGGGAACCTTGACTAAAATGCTTTTGGGAGAGTTTTCAGGTCTAGGATTCCCATATAACAACATCCCCTTCCATGATGAAATGGTTGTTCTTGAGTATCCAGATGTAGCCCTTTACCTTCTAAGGCCCTTGGATTGGCAGAGGGGATGATACTATGGTAACAGTATGTGACTTCCGGATTAGGCCATTGATGGTGTTTTGGGGAATGACCATGGAGAGTCCCATCTGCCATGTTGGCCACAGTCTTGGCAGGTGAGGTTGGTGCGAGGGTGAAACCAGGGGCAGCACGYCCATGGCTAATCCCCCTTTCTTGCCCCTCTCCAGAGCCTCTGCAGATTCATGTTACCTTCAAAATGTGTCTCCAGTTTCTTCTGATGGAATAGAAGGGTCTAGTGAGGGGAGATTGGTCCCTTGACTCTCCCATCATCATTGTGGTCATACTCACCAACACCCTGGTCCGGTCACCTTCACCCCACCAGACACATGCCCTACAGACAAGCTGAGACAGTGGCTGCCCTCTTAACACCAGGGGAGGGGATGAGGGCTGCTAATTATGCATAGGATCCGTACCTCTGGGTCAGGTGGAAGTTTTGACCTGGAGGTGAAGTTTCTATCATCCCACTGGGATGTATACAAATGAATTCTGTTGGTGGAGATGGGAAATAAGACGAGGCATAATCTAGTCATCCCTCTTCTTTCCTTGGGAGAGTTTCAGATCCCATTCTTCCAGGGGACTGCAAATGGAGAACTTCTGAATTCTGGAGCTGGGGTGGAGTATGGTTTTGCTGATACTGAATTATAACACCTGGAGTTGGAAAGGACCTTTAGAAATTACACAAAGAACCCAGAGTCATTCCTCTGCTATTATCACTTACGTCATCAGCCAGTTGTTGAGATTATAAGAAGGAATTCACTCATCTGCTAACTGAGAGAATAGCTTGAAGGTGATTTCAGGCAGTCCCTTTTCTTCCCCTGTCACCGAAGTGTCCCACCCTGCCTTCTCTAGAGAAGCTGACTTGGAGCAGAAGGCTGGGTTGGTCTCCATCTGTACTTTGCTTCTGATCAGGGCCCATTGGGGACTGGGTCTCGGATGCCTCCAGAGCATYCTGCATCCCCATCAGAAAGAAGCTGATGGGGCTCCGACTCCCTTCCAATTGAGCGCTAGCTGGTGCTGCCGCTGCCTGCCTCCCCAACCGCCCCAACCCGGTGGGGCTTCCAGCATGGACTGCTCCCTGGGCCTCCTTTCTGGAGCTGAGAAAGGAGGACCCCTCCTGAGCAGCAACATGGGAAGCATTCAGCTGCACTTGGATTCGTCCTCCCTGCCCACCCTCTGCTATCTATGTGTCCTTCCCTCTGGAGCCAGACTGGCCACTCCCCGCATCTCCTCCATGACTAATTTTACTTTTCTCTTTGATTTGTTTTTTTCAGAAAAGCCAGAGTTGGTACAACGTAAGTATTCCTGTTTCTCTTCTTGTCGGGTCTATGGGGGGGGGGGTAGAGGTGGGCAGCTGGGAGGGGGAAGTGGGAGTGCTGTTTGGCTTCCCCATGGCCTTTYCCCCTAATCTGCTTCCTCCTTCCCCAGACCAAATAGAAGAGTTTTCCTCTGAAGCAAGACAGGGCAGCCCTGGTGAGGGAGGATTTGATTCAGTGACACCAGGAGGGATGGTCTGGTTTATCCCCTGTGGTCTCCCAGAACTCTTGGATAAGCCCCTTCTGCATCCTAGAAGGGGAGAAGAGTCTGAGAGGACTGGGGCAGGGGTATGAACTTCAGGCCAAACTTTCCATCCTTTAATTAAGACATCTTGGGGGAGACACAGCCCATAGGACTTTCCTTCAGGAACTGAGAGGCTGTCCCATGTAATGTAGTTTGGCTTCTTCCCCAAAGCATGCTCCTCCCAGAAGACATCCCCTGACCTTGGGTCTATGGTGAAGGTGTGATTAGGACCATTTCTTAAGTCACTCAGGGTGGCACTTCAACCATCCATCCACTTTTTTCCATATTGAGAAAGTGTTTGCGGAGTAAGCAGTCCTTGCAAAAGCCACATCCTCTTGGTCATATACACTGAGGTTTAGGACTTTGAACTCTTCCTCTGAAGAGAAGCTGACCAAGGTCTCTCAGCCGGCCTTTCTGGGGGAACTGGCTTGTTTCACCATGGCCTGGCTTCGGACCTCACCTTCCTTTCTCTGAGCCTGCTGGCCTTCATACTAGACTCTGATCAAGGGGCATGCCATCTTTGGCCCTTCCTGACATGTGGTTTTGCTCCAGCAGGAGGTGTGGATGCAGAGAAGGTGTCAGGGAAAGGGCCTGTGAATGACAGATGGAGGGCAGAGAAGAGGTCCCTGGGAGGGGCTTGGGTTTCATATGGGACTGGGTCCAAATCACACATGTGGGCTGCGTGTTTTCATACATGGCAGCAGTTCCTCAAAGTCAGGGACATGCCATCTCATTTTGTGACTTTCCACCCTGAGCCGCTCGGTGGCCTGTCTTTCATGGGTGTTATTGATCGATCTGCAGGCCTCAGCCCCACCCAGCATCCCAAGTGGGCTTTGCTGATAGGAGGGAGTCAAGGGTTGAGATGGCCTGGGGTGGGAGAAAAGCCACAACACTCATGCTTGCTCCTTCCCTCTTGACCCATCAGGGGGTCACCTGGCCTCTGGCCTCAGGTCTCTCCAAACTGCTCAGAGCTCCTGTGCTCGAGGATCCGGAAGCACCCTGTGTTGGGGAGGGGAAGAGGAGTGATAGATGTGCTTTCTGGGAGCTGTCCCTGTCCCAGCTGTGGTCAGGACATCTTTTGCCCAAGAATTTCTTTTTGAGCAGCACTGCATGAGAGCCCCCAAAGAGGAACAGAAAATACACACTTRCAGGCTTACTAGAGAATTAAAACACGCAAATTTGAACATTTAAGTCCTTTTTCTTGTTGTTGATATCCTCCTCTTATCTTTCTATTTCTCTCTTTTGTTGCTTTTTAGCTCARTCCCTTCTGTTTTGTCTTGCTTTTCCCTTTCTTGTGTATTTCTCTACTCTTTGCTCTCTGACCACCTTTCTCCCATCTTTTTCTTCTCCAGCTCTGGTTCCATCCTCCTGCCTGGCTTACTTTTTCTCCCTGATTCTAATAGCTTTTACTTTCTCCCTGCTACCCGTTTCACCTCCAAGTCTTTCTCCTTCAACCCYACATAGACTCAGTTTGGTGACAAGCTAGGAGGTGCTATCTCTTGGCTAGAGGGTGGGTTAGGCCAGCTGCCCTCTGCGGTCCCGGAAGCCCAGGTTCCCCTGACCGTGGAGGAACCGAGCATGGCTGGAGCCCTAGTTCCTGGCTGATTCTACTTGCAACCAGAGACTTGCTGCAGCAGTGGAACCTCACCGACCCTTCCAGCCCTCCTCCAGGGTAACCAACCTGGGTGAAGCCCTGTGCCCTCTGTGTGGCTCTTTGTGACTGCCCTCCACAGGGCTGCTTTCTTCTTGGCCCTGCTGAATGTCTGCAGTTAGAGTCCTGACGCAGGGTTCTACTGGTGCAGGCAGCAGAAAGGAATAAACATGAGGAGAGAAAGAGAAATAGCAGATAAACATTGAGAGGAAGAGGCAGAAGCTGAGAGGTGGCAAGTGGCCCCCAGTGGCCTAACTACAGAGGTCAGGAGGCCTGACTGGGGTTTACACAGTTGATCATCTCTTATTTCATTTTATTTCCATATTTCCTTCATACRTTTTCATCACCAGAGGTAGCACTTCTGGAAGGTAATCAGTTACTGCCATACTGGAGAGGCCAGTAGAAAGCAGCACTGGAAATGGGCCTTTGGGACAGTACCCTCCGCCCCCAAGTAAGAACCTTGCTTTCTTCCTGAGGCGGAGGGTGACTCCCCAGCTTGGACTTTTCCAGAGCTGGGCATCTGTGGAGCAAGCAGAGTGCTGCCCGTTATACTCGCTAGATGTCCACCCTCCCAGGTCCTCTCCGATAGTGCCAGTGCACTTACCCTCGACACTGGCCCAAGTGTGGTTGTTTCCAGGCTGGAACAGCAAGCCCTGACCTGGTTGTTCCCAGAGTCACCTGAATCAATACATAGAAAGTCTCCCGGCACCTGCCATGCCCACACCTGTGCCCTGGGCTAGCTGGGCACCCTCTCTTTCAGTGCACACTCATGGGCTATGCTCTTGTGTTCAGATGTGCTATCAGGGGAAGCTTCGGTTGAATACCCGCTGCTCCCCAGCACTGCCCTGTAGTAGCTCACTTGCACTCCTTCAGGAGGCCCTGCCCTGCCTCTGTTTTCTGACCTGGCTTCTGTTTTTCTTCATCTCTCAGACCTCTTATCCATCACCTGCAGTGCCCTGGGCTGGTTGGAATCTGACCTCCAGGGAGGACCCCATTTCCCCTTCTTAGTCTGCCCAGCAGTGTTTCTTCTAATCTTTTCCGGATACTACTGTCAGCTTTCCAGCTGTCCCGATGCCTCAGACTCCATCATGGTACTTAGAAGTCCTTCAGGCTTTGTAATCCCGAGCCCTGGGGACAGTAGATACCCTTGGCCAATGAGAGAGAGAGGAGTGACAATCAGGGCTCAACAGAGTGCTGCCCATTGCCTGGGCATCTGAGGCCCATTTGAGTGGTTTGAGTCTGATGTGARAGGAAGCCCACCGACCACCTCCCCACCCACACTCCAGCCTCCACCTTCACCTGCCACTTGCCTGCAGAAGAAGGAGCATTTTACTTCATATATTTAGCCAGGGAGGAGCTGTCATCACTAGGACAAACTACCTTGATCTAAAGAGTGGGTTGTACAATGGACCTGGCTGGACCCTGGGATACAAGGAATGGCTGAAGAGAGACAATATCAGGTAGGGGTGGGGTTTGAAGAGCCTGCCTTGTACCACTGCCCTGAGGCCAGGTTACACCTGCTTCTTCTTTTCCTTCTTTACCACCCCAGTTTTATTCAGCAAAGTGTCTAGTTTAGGGGGTGAGGCATGGCCCCTGCAGAACTGAGGTAGAGATATGAGCAGAGATGGGGCTTTGCCTTCAGCAAAGAACCATGGGATGCGTTGAGGATAACAAAGTCAGGACCAGAGTGGGCATGAATCTCAGGTGAGACAGGGTCACAGAGGTCTCTTGGCTGTGCCTCAGCTGGGCAGATAACACCCAACTCTACCTCATCTCACTACTGAGATGTTAGACATCTCCATGGCAACCAGGACAGGAGCCTCATGCTAGGCAGAGACCTAGCATCCTAGTCACCTGCTGCTCCCGCATTAGGGATGCTGGCTTTCTGGAAGGGAGGAAGGGTCAGTGGCAATCCTGTGGAATGTCAAGTGGGTCTGGATGGCTCSGTTTGAATGCTAAAGAACAAAGCTTTATAGAAATGATATTCCAGGTATTGTGGTTAGAGGCAGTGGGGAAAGTGGGAGAGCTGAAAGGASTCCTCCWGCCTTARCCACCTAAGTCACTGGGATTATAGGCATGTGTCACTGTGCCCAGCATTTACAGATAACTTGAAGAGTCTTCCTGATCTCCTCTCCCCCTGACATCCCATCCTTAACTCTCTCCAGAGTAGTGTCACCTCTGCAGGTGAGACCCCTTTCCCAGCCCACCTCTTTCCCCACCCTTCAGCCTCGTACCCATCCCTGATGCTCAGTCACCATTCCCTGTTGGTTGTCCCAATCTGGCTTTATCTGGCTTCTGCCTACCAGATTAGGTTGGAGCACCAGGATTTCCTTTGTGGATCTTAACTAGTTTCTCCGGGTTGGGGGGGGGGCGGTATGTGAGGTGTTCTGCCAGAATCCATTTATTTTTCTCCTTAGTGCCCCACCTCCTCCTTCCTGCTGAACTCGGGAAGGGGGTACCATTTGGTCCCAGTACCTGATGTTTGCCATAGAGTTAATGTTTAGCCCAAGGTAATTCCTGGTGCTCAGGCTCCTGCCCTGCCCTGCCCAGCCCTAGGTGAGTGGATAGAGGAAACCAAGACTGAGGCTTACTGAGACTCATCTCCCAGGGTGTTATCTCTCTGGGTGTGTACTTTTCCTATCTCACCTAAATAGTGGCTTGTATCAATGGCTTGTAATCAAATGTTTCCTGGGAATTATTTTAAGGATCCGAGACTTTTAGAACTATCTACCCCCTCTATCTTGGGGGTGTGGTGTGGCTCTGAAGAGAGGAAAATGGAATTGCTGCGTTGAAAATGGAATTCATGGTGCTGAGGGTGGAACTGACATGCAAGACAGAGAGAAGCTTGACAGTGCTGGAGAGACTGTGAGCAGGGACTAGGCTTTGAGAAGCCAGATGTGCAAGTCAGGGATCCCCATATGAGTAAGCATGTATGCACACAAAATGCATCGTTGACGGGAACAGTTAGAGAGGGGTATGAGGAATAAATAAATTGGTAAATAAATTTTGAACCCSTGCTACTGAAACACATCATGTTGACTTCTGTGGAAGCCATGAAGCTGTTTGAAGCATGGATCCTTCCTGGGGGAGATGGAAGTCCAGTGAAGTAGGTTACCTGGCACCATGAATGGAGGCCGTGGCAGCCTTCAGTGGGTGTCTGTTGAGAGGGAGGCAGAGGGGATTGTTGGGAGATGATTTGGGGGAGATTTGCTGGGGTCAACCCAGATTACTCTTGATTAACATCTTTGGGTCTGGGACTCAGGAGTCTGTTTTCTTTAATATGTTCACTGGGTGATTTTTAAATATTGCTGAAGTTTGAGTGCTACTGTAGTACCAAAYTCCTAAGGCTCCTAGGACAAAGGCACTCTGTCCTTCCTCAGGAACAGGCCCAAGACCCTCCTGGTAAGGTGGCCTASTTGGGGAGGGTGAGGGAGCTGCCCCAATCTGCGTCTCTGCAGTCCCACTGTCTCAGGCCTGTTTTGAGTGCCCCTGTCTGGAGGCTTTCTTGCCCCTATTGGCCTAGTTCCCATTCTTCTCTATATTTGGCTGCCCCCTCTGACAAGGGGCCAAATTCTCTKCACTTAGCATTGCTCCTTTGCCCTCAAGGTCTGAGCAGCTGTCTGTGAATCCATTTGGCCTCCATCCCCCCTCCTATTAATGCTGAAGGTGGGGCAGGGTCTTTGGAAAGGAACGAGGTGCCTCATCCAGACCCCAAAGCTGTTGACCTCAGCTTCCCCAGGCTATCTGCCCAACTTCTTCCAGGCTAGCACATGTGAGACTCACTAGATCTGTTATTAAATCCCAAGTCACCAGCAGCAGTTACAGGGCAGTTGGTACATGGATGGGCCAGCAAAGGGAGAGTGTGTCCCTAAGAAGTCCCTGGCTGTCTGAGTCTCAAATTTCAGATTTCATCATAAGAGTAGTGCCCTTAGCACCTCCCCTGCCTCTCCCCCCACTTGGAGCCCTGGCCAGCAACTTTCCATTGCAGGAAACATCTGCTGGGGAGGCCAGGCTGGGCCAGGGGTTACTGCAGGACATTGGCCAGGACCATCACCCAGATCCTGTAACTTGAAGCATGTGCAGGGCTCTGGCCCTTCCCGCCCACCACCCTGCCTCCCTCCCTCCTGCCACGGTGATTCTTAACAAAGAAGTTGTTTGCTGTCCAGCTGAAAGGAGCGGGGTCTAAAGGGAAAAGGGGTGTGTTGCAGGGGTGGGGAGGAGAGCAGGCTGCTGCTGACTGGTGGCCGCTCTGCCTGGGTGAGGGATGTGAGTCATAGCGGCCCCAGCCTGCCCTGGGTAGATTGCGCGTTGATTAATGTGCCACTCTGTGGGACAGATCGAAACCGGGGAGCTGAGCCTTCAAGTGGCTCTCCGGAGCTTCCCACCAACTATGAGTCACTTGGCTGTGTGTGAGTAGCTGGACCTCTGGACCTGGCCGTGAGGCGTTCTATTCCTGGGAGGTTTGCCTGTCCACCCGGGGCCTGCCCTCGAGAACCCTCAGCCAGCACTATCTGCCTGCTGTGTCTGCATCTTCAGGCCTCTGATGGACTCTTGGGGGTGACTGCACTGATCAAGGAGGTGCTTGACCACAGCCCCTCTGGGCTACCTGAGCCTGAAGACCTGCCAACAAGGACAAAGCAGAGCCCAGCTGTGGGTCACTGGTCATCCAGCCTGTCCCAAGAACCATGCTGATCACATCCTCTCACTTGTGAAGCTTTTCACAGCTCTGGGAGAGAAAAGGACATTGGCTGGGGTCACACAGACCCTCTGTCCAAAAGCCAGAGGTCATCCTTCTGCARTTCAGTCCCAGTGAGGCCACTTGTTTTCATCCTGTGGGGACAGTTGGGAGTCAGAGCCAAGGAGTTGGGCTCCACTGGCAGAGGGAGCTGTGKAAGAGTGTTGCGATGGAATCTTTGATGGAGTCTGGGGTTCTCTGGAGCCTCCTGTTGGAGCAGGAAAGCCCGACGTTATGGTGGTCCTTGAGGAGATTTCTTGATGAACCTGCTGGTGCTGGACACTGTTGCTTGCATGGATCTGAGGAAGTCCCAGCCGTGAGTGTGTGACCTGATTTCTCTCTGTGACCAGTTTTTGCACCCTCACATGCCCCACTTGGCTTTGCCCCCCCAAGGGCCCCAGATTTGACAACTCTTGAACCAAACTTCTTCAGCCATTTAAATAGGCGAGCCATGCCTCACCTTTGGAGGAGATTGCTTTAGGAGTGCCTGGGGTGGGAGGTAGAGGGCCAGGGTCCCCTGGCTTCAAGACAGCATGTGGTTGCAGGCCAACCGTGCCCACCTAATGTGTCTCAGCACTCTGGGTTGCAGTGGGGAGGGGCTGGCCACTCGCACTCATCRAGAGCCTGGTAGAATAAGGATATCTCTGTGCAAATATGGAGCAAATCTTTAGAAGACTCGCTTGCCCCCTCTCCACCACTACAGCTTTGTTCCAAGCAGAAGAGAGGAGTAGCACTCTTGATCTGCCTGTGTTTGGGAGATTGTGGCCAGACTCCTGCACTTCCATCTCTATAGATGTCTGGGCTCTCACTGGATATAAGAGAAACGGGGGAGAGGGCAACATGGAAGAAAACCTAGAAACAGGAGAACTTCCAGGCATCTGTTTCCTCATCAGGATGTCTCATTATGTTCAGTTTCACCTGAAAGGGTTTGTGGCCACTGATAGGCCACTCCTCAGTCTGATCCTGGAAGGCTGGTGGGGCCGTAGAGCAGGTGAACATGTCATCTTGAGAGATTGGGCTATTGTGGATATGGCTCTTGTTTCCTCCTTGGCACAAGAACAGGGCTCGGCCTCTTTGTATCTCACTTTCGTTCAGTATAAGGTAGGATAATAAAAACCACCTTGTGGTCAGATGCAGTGGTGCATGTGATGGCCTGAGTCTGTGCTTGTTATATGGTAACAGCTCTTTCCATGTCAGGTTCACTGCAGTTCTAGAAGGCTAGTTAGACAGGAGGGGACCATACTGGTGACCAGGTAGTAAAGCAAGAGTTTCCAATGTGTGGACTCTGTTCCAAGAGGCCAGGGGGCCATGTGGGTTAGATGACTCAGTGCCAGCCTGGAACTAATACAAAGACCAGAAGATTATTGTGTCTGAGGTCTTTTTTGGCCATAGAAGTCATAGGATGGGTAGGCTTCTTGATGTCAACCTGCAATTGTCCTGATTCAATCCTGGTTCAAACACATGGCAGGTGGTTTTGAAAGTTGGGGTTCCATGAATACATGCCATTGTTTGGGGGGAAGTTAACAGGGCACACATTATTGCAAGTGGAGCTCATTCTGTAAATAAGCCAAGAACAAAGGCTGAAAATTTAATTAACTGGACAAAGTAGTTAGAAATACTTTKTTCCTCCCTTGTACTTTCCTGTGTTCATCTCCCCAAACTAAAGGCATGTCATTTTCTCTCCCCTTATCTTCTTGAAAGCTCCTCTTTCTTTAGTACARAGACCATTTGACCACAGCTCAGGTAGGCAGTGCAGCGTGCAGATGTCAGCAGACCCCAGCTTTGGTTCCCTCATGATCCATTTAGCTCTGTAGAAAACACCCAAAATGAGCAGTTGAAAGGTTGTTCCCTCACCACCACAGTTTTATGCAGCAGATTCCCAGGGAAGTGGGTGAAAAAGTGAAAAAGGCCAAGACCCATGTGTCACCACCAGCAGGACGATCCGTCCTCAGGCACGAGCTCCTGGCTGAGGGTCAATAGTATTTTTTTTCTGCATAAATAGGTCAATGCATTGCCGGGTGGAGTGCAGATGTCCTTCTGTGTAGTTTATGTTTCATCATTGGGTGTCCTTTGTCTTTGGGTACTTACATTTTTTTTGTTTGTATTTATTTAGTTTTAAGATTGTTAAGAGTTCCTCTATTTATTCACCTGGCTCATCTCTAAGGTGGACTTGCTAAGGCAGTCCATGAGTTTGAGCCTGTACCAAGGCCCCTGTGAAAATGAGGTGGGCACAGGGGGCATCTAGTGGCCCAGGTGGTGGTAGGGCACAGGGCAGGGCCAGAGATGCAAAGCATGTTGCAGGGTCAGATTCTCTGCGCTTGTTTTCCCTACCAGGTCCCTGCTCCTCATCTGGCCTCCTAGGGCTTATGTGRTAGCAGAGTCCCATTTTTTAGTCTTGTCACGGGGCCAGTGGTCGTGTGGACAGGGTCTGGGGGCTTCTCTCTGGCCTTAGTTTCTTCACTGGTACTGTAGGTGTTGGTGGATCATCTTGTAAAGATGGGAAGGGAATTTGGTGCCTTGTGTGCTGGATATGCTTTTAAATCCTCTATCCCATGTGCTTTTTTAAGCACTGGTTTTATGATCTTTTTTAAAAGCACTGTTACAATTTTTTTTTTCTAAGTCATGTCTTTCACACACATCCAGGTTCTCACTGTGTTAGTTATAACAGCAACTTCTGAAAGGTGTGCTCCCCATCCTGTCCCAAGTCCTGCTGGGTGCTGATTTGTCTCCTGAGGCCCCTGCTTCACTCTCTCAGTGGTTCTACCAGCTGGCAGAAAGCAGAGCACCAACAGCTGGCATGGTGGGCTTCAGGAAGCAACCTGCAGGTGTCCCTTCTTCCTTTTGTCTTCTTGGGACATAAGTGGGCCCTGGCTTTATTTTTTGATATTTTCTCACTGATGGATGCTGGACACACAGTTTTGCAGGATCCGGTTCTCTGCACTGTTGTTCCATGCCGAGCGCCCTTTCCTGAGCTGGCTTTCTAGGGCCTCTAGGGTAGCAGAGCCTTACCTTTACCTATTTAACAGAAGCAAGTGCTCCTCTAACCCACAGAAACTGAGTACTTTTCACTAACCATGGCCATTGTTATGCAGGTGTTAAGCCCCACTTACAAGCAGAGAAATGAAGACTTCAGAAAGCTCTTTAAGCAACTTCCAGACACGGAGCGCCTCATTGTTGGTGAGCTGGGAACCCTGGGAGGGGCCAGGCAGAAGTCTGGGAGTTGTAGAGATAGCACCCAGGCTGCTTCTGGCTAGAGGCTGAGAGCCTACCCAAGTGAGCTTGTATATCTGGCAACTGGGAGAGAGCATGTCAGAGCACTGGCCCTGGCTGGCAGGGCTCTGGGCTGAGCACCCAGTTTATGGCAAGAGCCCAACCTATAGGAAGTACCTGGAACACTTACCTCTGTAGATGATCAAGCAGTGGAAGGGATTGGCACGGTCATCGGTGGTGGAAAAGGAATTGAATTTTATTGACCTCCTTATCCCTAGCTTTCCTGGCCCCCTCTGCTGTCACATTCATTCTGCCTCTATGCAGTAGCGTATTTTACCACCTCCATGTTTCTGATCATGAGATGCCTGGGTCTTCTTGGCTGCTAGTTTCAGTGTCTCACACACCGAGTCACYGTAGGCGATTTGGTTCCCCTAGTGCTGGTGGGAGCGATGACAGGTCTACAGTTTGCTAAAAATGCTTCCTGCCTCTGAGCTTCCTCTTGTCCTGCTTCCCACCACAGATTACTCATGTGCACTCCAAAGAGACATTCTTCTTCAGGGCCGACTCTACCTCTCAGAAAATTGGATCTGCTTCTACAGCAACATCTTCCGCTGGGAAACTCTGGTAAAGATCTAGGACTCAGGCTAGGGGTATAGTTTAGTGGTAGAGCACTTGCCTAGCATGTGCAAGGCAACGTGGTTTGATTCCCAGTACTCGGAAAGAAGAAAGAAAAGACCTGGGWCTTGCTCCCTTGGGCTGTCTTCTTGGCCAGGGCTGAGCAATTTGCCCTCACTTCCCTCCTTTGCCTGACTTTGTGTTCTCTTCAAACCTTTGCACAGTTTACAAAAACACATGACGGAGTCTTAAAGGATATCCATTCGTGTATGAGTCCCAGTAGTGGGGTCTCCTCTGCCATATATTTCCCTCCCACCTTTTGGATGTGGAAGAGGGCACAAAGAGCATTTACTTTCGGCAAATGCAGTTATTTAGTGTGAGTTAACTGCAGAGGGAGGCATAGTAGACAGGGCATTGACCTTGGGGCTCAAAAGACTTGGCCTGCATGTTTTCTGGGTTCTGCAGTTAATTAGCTGTAGGATGATAGGCCAGTCCTTTCCTTCCCTCATTCTTATAAAATAGAGAAAGATTAAGTGGATGATTTTTATTGTTCTATCCAGCATCTATGTTCAGTGTTTCTTTAAGTGGAAAAACCTTTGCAGTATCACCACATATTTAGCAGACTAGAAATGAGAAAGAAAGAAAAAAAATCTTCCTAGACCAAGAATCAAGATATCCATGACTATAGACAAGGTTTAGTCTTTACCTCGCTATGTGGCCACTGTGACAGAAGGGGGTAAACCAGATGATCTCAAAGGTGGTCCCTTCCAGGATTAGAAATATGTGAGCCATGATCTGATTTCCTCTGTCTGCATTGATGCTGCCCCACTCTACCTAATTCTTTGTTGCCTCCTCTTGTTGTCCATTCTCTGTCCCTGCGGGGGTGCCAGCTGACAGTCCGTTTGAAAGATATCTGCTCCATGACAAAAGAAAAAACAGCTCGCCTCATCCCCAATGCTATCCAAGTTTGCACTGATTCAGAAAAGGTAAGTGCAGCCAAATTCTGGCCTTTCTCCCCTCCCACCCTGCACCCTTCACACCCTGCTTTCCCTACTCCTGTATTTCTGCCCTTAAATTGCATCAATCTGGAGGCTAGGAGGATTGGGGCAAAAGGCCATGAGGGAGAAGCAAACTCCCAGAGCGACTTTTGGCATGGCATGGACAGGGTGGCTAGAGGCTGAGTAGGGGGAGAGGGGCCTGGTGCAGCACTGAAAGTGGAGCCAGAGGACCTGAATGTGGGCCCCATGACTGTAGGCGCTAGGTAACCTCTCTGAGCCTGTTTCCTCATGTGTGAAATTGACCCAGTATCCAAACCGAGCATTGAAATAACATCACATATTTGAAAACATTAAGTTGTAAAGCACTACACAAACTGGAAGTAGGTCTGATAGGAAATGGGTTGTCCTTATCAGTATGAGGAGAATGTGGTAGATAAAATTTAGGATAGGAAAATCGGAGATCTTTGACCTTTAAGCAGAACTTGAAGGCAAAGAGATCCAAAGCTAAGGGTGGGCTAGGTTTCTGTGGAAGACAGTCTACAATTCCCATGACTCAAGACAGTTCAGTGGCAAGAGCCACGAATGTGTGGAATCAGCTGGCCTTTGGTTCAAATTCTCTTTCTGGCACTAACCATCTTTGTGACCATGGAGGCTGCTAACCTCATCAGTCTGGCATTGTTAGCACTTTTATTCATTGTCCAAGGTTTTTTGTGTGGCTTGTACAAAATAGCATTTGTCAAGCACTGAGTAGGTAGRTGCACAGTAAAATTTAGTTTTCCACTGCTTGCTTCCTGCTTATTGTAAAAGATCTTCATTAATGGGTTAGCTCTCTGGGAGCAGGATCCGTTTCTGTTCTGTATCTGTTGTACCTTAAACATAGAATAGTGCCTAGCTCCACAAATATTCAAATAGTAGTTGAATGAATTAGAAGTGTTAGTGAGTCCGTGGCTGTGTGTAATCCTTCCATTTAGGTTAGTTGCCAGCTAAGTTCTTAYCCAGTTCCAGTAGGTGGGTAAAGGACTTTTGGGTAATGAGGATTGAACCCAAAGGTGTCTTACCAATGAGCTACATCCCCAGGGTTTTGAGACAGGGCTTTGCTTTGTTGTTGAGGGTCTTGTTAAGTTGCTGAGACTGGCTTTGAACTTGTGATCCTTCTGCCTCAGCCTCCCAAGTCATTGGAATGTGCCACTGTGCCAGGCAGGACACAGTGGGGGTAAACCAGATGATCTCAAAGGTGGTCCCTTCCAGGCTTAAAAATATTGCCTCTGTCTGCATTGCTGCTGCCCCATCTCTCTTATCCTAACTCTTTGATGCCTCCTCTTGTTATGGAGATAAAAGTTTTAAACCAGAGAGGAAAATACTGAAAAGGATGTAGTAAAAATTCTGAAGGATTTGATAATAGTAAGGACATAGAGGTCCCAGGTACACAGGTCCCCAATGTGTTGACTTGTCATTAGCATACCTGTGTACTGATTATGGRTAACTAAAAGTCATTAGTGTTTGAGGATGAAGTCAGTATCTTTAGTTTAAAAGGAAGACCATGTCTCCATTCAATATATTGTAAATCTTAACTGGTATTTCTTGCCATTTTGTCTTCCAATCTAGCACTTTTTCACTTCTTTTGGGGCCCGGGATAGAACCTATATGATGATGTTCCGGCTCTGGCAGAATGCTCTCCTTGAGAAGGTAAGTACTGCCCAGCTGTTTCCTTCAGCCTTAATGATGTACATCCACCCAGGATGTTGTTCACACTTGGGTACTGACCTCATGGGAAGATTGCTTCAAGGGAGTCTGTGTCGCCTGATGGTCTGGAAATCCCCCAGACGGTGAGGGRCACATTCTTCCATTGGTAGTATTGATTCTAAGTCCTGAAAGTTCCACATTACCAGAGAATGTCCTGAGCACTACTAGGAGGAAGACACTTGTGAATTAAGGCATGTTGGTTCCACTGTTTTAAAATGAAATGGGATTTGAAAAATCATATTTAGTAAAACATGTAGTTAACAGAATGACTGTCATGCAGGAAGAAGCTTTTAGATTCACAGATCCCTAAAAACAAGGGGACAGCCTGCCTCACTGGGCCACCGGGGAGTATGTATTTGAATATGTGCATGTATCTGCCTTTATTCTAATCAGTTACTAGCTGAAGAAATTGAGCAAATTTATTTAGTTTCTTTTCATCTGAGAGACTGGTTAAGTTTTTATGGCTTTTTTGAGCTGAGTTCTTCTGCCTTTATTAATAATCGAAAATGGTAAAATGATAATGTGTTTCCTACAGCAGGTATGAATTTTCACATCACAACCACTGTCATTTCTAAATAAGATATCCCTACAGCTTCTAAATGTCTCATAAAATAATTATTAAGAATTCTAAGCTGGGCACAGKGTCCCACACCTATAATCCCAGCTACTTAGGTGACATTGGCAGGAGGATCACAAGTTTGAGGCTAGTTTCAGAAACTTAGGGAGGCCCTGTCTCGAAAAACAGGGATATAGTTCATTAGTTCAAGTGTGGGGTATAGTTCATTGGTAGGGCATCCCTGGGTTCAGTCCCCTAACTCATCCCAGCCCCCGACAGACACACAGAGAAAGAATTCTGTCTGATGGTGAAGACTGTGCTTGTCCTGACAATGGTCAGACCAGCTGAGCCAGGTAGAACTGGTGAGGGAAGGCAGCATGGAGAAGTTGAATGGAAAAGCAGGCTAGGACTTGGTTTGGCAGATAGCAGATGTATCCCAGGGTGTCCAGGAAAGTCAAAGATAGGAGGGAAGAGGTCCTGATAGAGGAGAAGGGGGTGTCTCCCTTCTGGTCCACAGATGGGCTTCTGACAGCCATTYCAAGTGGTTTTCCCAAGCCATAAAACCAGAAACATGGCCTTCCTTGTCTATTACTTCAACAGAAGTTTGCAGAATGGGATCAGCTGGCTCCTGGAAGATAGTCACCACACTACCTTGTGCTCATATTGATAAGTTCCAGGACTGGATGGAATAAATCCATGTTACTTTAAGGCCAGAGTAATTCCAGAGCTTCTGACTTGGACTCAGAGTACACAGAGAACCCCTGACCCAGCCTCCCACCCAGTGTAGCCACCACCATCTATATTAACTATGGCCATGCAGGCCCTACTGGGCCGTGTTTCTGGCTTTGCTGAACTCCACATTCTTAGGCTGAGATCCTAAGCAGATGGGGTTGTCATGGAGGTGCCTGCAGTCCTCTAGTTCAGCAAGTAGTTTGACATCCTACCTCTAGGGGTGCTAGTCTGKCTCAGTGCCTCTGCAGAACAGGTGAATTTGCACAGGAAGGACCTGAGTTGTGGCTCTTCTCCCCTGTAGCCCTTGTGCCCCAAGGAGCTCTGGCACTTTGTACACCAGTGCTATGGGAATGAGCTGGGCCTGACCAGTGACGACGAGGACTACGTGCCCCCTGACGATGACTTCAACACTATGGGGTGAGTGAAGCCGAGGCTCGGCTGCCCAGGGAACCTGGGGATACAAAAGCAGAGAAGGCCTCAGCACACGTACGTCTGAGTCAGGCCCTGAAGGCAGTGGGGGTGGGAACAGCCAGCAGGCCTGTYGCTGCAGAACCAATAAGTTGGCGACGAAGTTAGGAAGGTTAAAGAGGCAGAAAATGATGGACTTCGGACCATTGTGATGATTGGCTTTTGTTCAGTGGGATGGGAAGGTTGGGAATAGATAATCGATAAGGTCTGACTTACCATCCTAAGAGGATCACTCTGGCCTCTGTTAAATACGCTGAAGGGAAACAAACAGAAGTGGAAAAACCTGTGGAGAGGCTGCTGAATAATTTAGATGATTTGGATGAGAGATGATGGCTGAGACCAGGAAGGTAGCAGTAGAAACMGTGACAAATAGTTCCTGAATATATTTTGAAGGATTTGTTGATGGATCAGAAAGGAACCAAAGATGGCTTTAGAGTGTTTTAGTTTTATCATTTGGGAGGATGGAGTTGTTCTCAAACTGAGATGAACAATAYTGTAGGCAGAACAATTTTGGAGGGAAGCTTAAAGGTTGGTTTTAGGCAAGTTGAGACTGAGATGCCTGTTAGCCCRGTATAGAGGTCAAGTAGTCATTTGGAATGAGTGTGGAATTCACTGGAAAGTCTGGAAACTCAGGAGTTACTAGTTTTTAACCATGAAGTTGGGTGAAAACTTCATGTAATCAAGTAAACCAAAAAGTGGATGTTCAAGGGCTGGGCTTGGGAACACTCAGTGAGAAGAAGCAAAAAAAGAGATCTTAAAAGAAATTCCAGTGAGGTAAGAGTGATGCTACAAGAGTTTAGAATCATGGAAGCGAGGARGGGTGTTAAGGAGGGTATCGCAGTATCACATGCTATTGGTAGATTAAGAAAGGTGGGGCCTGCAAGTTGACTGAGACAAAGTACGCTTGAAGTTGGAAAGGTAGGTGGAGGCTGGATGGTTGTGAGAGGCTGGAGGAACGGAAAGAGTATTGAGTGTGTGGTACTTTGACCTGGGCTTGGTTACAAATGCTGGCCTTTTATAGAGGTATCACATAAACTCAGGGGATGCCTATTTGATTATCTCTAAAATGCACATCGTTATTTACTCAGAGTTGTTATGCAACCAAATAAYAGTAAAGAGTCAGATGTTCATGGCAATGAGAATTGTTTCTTTGGGGGAAATTTGCTGTGGTACTCCTAAAATGTCTATAGAAGGGCACCCACTTCATCTTAAGGAGATTTTCCTCTTAGGTGTACAAGGCAGAGTTTATTAGTTATGATTCAGAATTTGTGCAGCACCCTAAAGGRATACTTGAATCCAGAGTCCTATCTTAGGCAACATATGGGAAATAAAATCTGCTCAGAACCCAGATATTAAGTTCAAATGATCAGGATGGGATGGAATCTGATGAGCAAAACATAGGGTAAGATGAATAATGGTGATTGTTGGGTAGGGATAATATAAAGAAGATGCCTAGGAAAGTTGAGCTTGGAGCCAGAAATTTTACATAGGATATAGGGAGAGGAGGAGTGAGATGGGAAGAAGGCCTCAGGAGAGCAATGAAGGGGGCAGATTTTTGGTTAAAGAAAGATCATATACTAATCAAAGACTCAGGAAGGCCCATAGTTTTAGATAAATAGGCAGGTCTGAGGATMTTAGAGTAGTTGTCACTCTTGACACTGAAACTGACACCATCTTGCTGGTTGCCTCCTTTAGCTACTGTGAGGAAATCCCTGTAGAAGAGAATGAAGTGAATGACAGCTCTTCCAAAAGCAGCATCGAGACCAAGCCAGACGCCAGCCCACAGCTGCCCAAGAAATCCATCACCAACAGCACCCTGACATCCACTGGAAGCAGCGAAGCCCCSGTATCGGTATGGATGGTGAACATTGACACCCCCCACCTGATCCTGTGGCCAGTGTCTCCTAGCTGAGTTACCTCCATCAGAGCCCAACCTGGGGAGTGGGTGGAGGGAGGTATGGTACATTGCAGTTAGTTTACTTGAGGAGATGTGCTGGAGTACATGGGTTCTCTATGTTYTATTAGTATAGTCTCAGAGTCCACAACTGGATTCAGGGTGCCTGGTTTACACAATTTGATTTGACTTCTAAGATTGGAAGTCTCCACTGTGTGGACTTGGCTCTTRGTGGGCTGCTCCAGGTCTTCCCCTCTGGTGGAGAATTATTCTAGGTCTTTTATGTATTATGTGTGTACATATTGAATTCATTGACTTGATCTGAAATCAAAGTTGTTCATGAATATAGAGCTGGAGAACAGTTGATTGCTTATTTATCCATTAGATTAATATTTATTGAGTTCTTCTATGGTTTATTTCCCCATTGTGCTAGCTTTTTATTAGGCTATAAAGATGTTTAAGAAGATCTCTCTCCTTGGGGCATTGATAGTCAGAAAATAGAATGTTAATGAAGGAAGAAGGTTGGGGCATGTGCTAGCAGGTGGAAGAAGGGGTGGAGTTCCTCAGGAAAGCACTCCCGGAGAAGGGAKGCTAATAGTCCAGTGGGTTGGGGATCAGGCCAGCTGGTCTTAGAAGGAAAATATTATTCATTTGATGGCTACTCTGCATTTTCTGCCTCTCAGCTTGTCTTTAAAATGTGAAAATTTTTATTGATTCCCTTCCAGTGCTAATGAGAGAATGACTTTTAAAAAAGGGCTGTGGGAACTTCTGAGGTTAGAAAATGAAAGCATTCTCCCTAGAGGCAGGCTGACATTGTCATAGCATGGTGGAGGGGTGGCTCCAGGAAGGACCTGGAACTGCAGGCGCCACCTCTGCTGACCTGCTGRTCAGTGTGCTGTGTGAATAGCGAGCCTGAGAAGGGCAGCTCCATGTGCTGRGTTCACTCATCTCCTGCAGCAGAGCTGAGCAAAGGCCCAGAATATGACTCCAACCTAGCTTCTGTGTTGGGAGTGCAAGGGCTTCCAAAGCCATGTCTCCAGTCTCCCTTTGGAGAGTAGATCCAAGCAGGTTGTCCCTGGTGGTGTCTCCACTGCAGTTTGATGGCCTGCCCCTGGAGGAGGAGGTGTTGGAGGGCGATGGGACTCTGGAGAAAGAGCTTGCTATTGACAACATCATCGGGGAAAAGATTGAGATCATCGCGCCCGTGAACTCCCCTTCATTGGACTTCAATGACAATGAGGACATCCCCACCGAGCTTAGTGACTCTTCAGACACTCATGATGAAGGTGGGCATTTGAACATAGGTTCAGAGTGGACCTTTGAAGTCTTAAACGAAGTCTCTATGTGGGGACTAGAGTTACCCTTCTGGACTAGAGGGAAAAGCATTGCTGAATCAGTGGACTTTGGAGACTCCTCTTCTTTCTGATGAGTCTATTTTTTTTTTTTTTTTACAGATATATATATTTTTAAATTTTTAAATTTGTTCTTTTTAGATACACATGACAGAAGTGATTTTGACATATCACACATAACTTCCCATTCTTGTGATTGTACATGATATGGAGTTACACTGGTGGTGTATTCATATATGAACTTAGGAAAGTTATACTATATTCATTCTACTGCCTTTCCTATTCCYKTCCCCTCTCCCTTTCYTTTATTCCCCTCTGTCTAATCCAGTGAACTTCTATTCTTCCCTCCACACCCCTCATTGGGTGTTTGYATCCGCATATCAGAGAGAACATTCAGCCTTTGGTATTTGGGGATTGGCTTATTGCACTTAGCAAGATAGTCTCTAATTGCTCTAAGTAGATGCCTCTTTCTTTGCTCCCACATAGACTTAGCTCCCAGGACCTCACCTGGGAACATGATCCTTCTTATATTCCATGAAGAGAAGTCAGATTCTCAGTAGTCATTAAAGTTAGTTGATGATTTTCTTCCACTGAATTGGTAATAGTATGTTTCTACTGAGTAGACATGAGTACACTTGTTCATCTGTGGACAGTCTCTCCTAGAGGGCCCCTGCAATGGCTTTCTAACCTTTGACTGGTTTACCTACCCAGACCYAGGATCCAGGGCTAGGATAGATGCCTGCACAGGTTGGGTGCCACCTAATACCAGAGGTGCCATTCACAACATTCTCCCCACTGTGCCAACATAACGCCTGATCTATATAGTCCTAGGCACTATCCCTATATGATTTTGCTGCTGTGACTAAAGGATTTGACCAGAACAACTATAGAAGAGGAAAAGTTTATTTGAGGGCTCACAGTTTCAGAGGTCTTAGTCCATAGAAGGCTGGCTTCATTCCTCGGGGGTTTGAGGTGAGGCTGAACATCATGGTGGGAGAGGGTGGCAGGGGGAAGCAGGTCACATCATGGTGAACAAGAAGCAGAGAGAGACTCCACTCTCCATATAAAAATTATATACCCTATAGCCATGCTCCCAATTAACCACTTCTTCTAGTTGCACTCCACCTACCTCCAGCTACCACCCAGTTAATCCCTTCAGGGATTAGTCCACTGATTATGTTAAGACTCACAATCCAATCATTCCTTATCTGAACCTTCTTTCATTGACTCACATGTGAGATTTTGGGGGACACCTCACATCCAAACCATAACATTGTCATTCTCTGGATCCTGGGGCTGTCTGAAATGTCAGCCTCCTACTTGACATTACCTTTCAGCCCATGCAGGTGCAGACATTAGGGACTGTGGGGTGCTGGGGACTTGGGAGGAGCATGTAGACTTAGTGGCTCACCTGTACCCTCAGGCAYCTTTTTCTGTAACAATAAAAATTCAGAACATTACAGGTGAGATTCTGTGGGTAGCAGAGGAATATGCTCTGCATGTTGTCTGTCACAGATTAYGTTCCAGGTGGGTACAGCATCCCTGAGAACCAAGGAAGCATCACTTTGGGAAMACTCCTTGACTTTGCTCTGTCTTGTGTCTGTCCCTTTGACTCATTCTGATCTATATATCCTATACATATATGTATATGTATCTATATATATATGTGTGTGTGTGTATGTATATATGTATATATTATATATATATATGTGTGTATATATATATTGTTGTTATAATAAATCTATGATGATTTTTTAAAAAGAGGAGGTTTTGCCATCATGGGGGATATAAGCTGCCTGTGTATTTAGAAGTCACAGCCCACCAGGTCAACCCAGGCCTTGGATGCTGTTCTATAAACAGATATTTTTAGCTTTATCAGCAGCTCTAGAACCCACCTGTGCTAGTGGTTACTCTGTCATTTGTTGTCAATTRTGCCTAACTTATAGACTCTGAGTAACCCATCCTTTAGGATTCAGACATCCTCAGAAAGTAGTCAATTGTTTGAATTTTAGTCTGAGATCCACTTGATTAGGGAGATTTGAAAACGTAGAACCACATACAACCAYGTTGCCCCATAGTAACACTGGCTACATATACGAAGGCCTTCTCAGGGTAAAGTGCACAGAGGTGTTGGAGCGTCCTAGTTTGTACAAAGACCAAATCATTGAATGGCTCATTTCTCAGACCATTTCCTATAGTCAAGTGACCTGTGACTATAATACATTTCCAAACTCTTTGCAAAGGATGAATGGAAAGTGTGTCAACTAAAGTAAAGAGTGTGTGTCTCAGCTTGACAGAAGCAAAGTCATAAACAGAGGCCATGGGCTCAGCCTACCTGACCCTTGGTGGCAGTGTGTGCATTAGCCACAGAGACATTAGTGCTCTGGGAATGTCCCTCAGGCCCCCTCCCTTCTCTCATCCCCCTCTAATCCCTGGCAATTTTTTATGTGCAGGGGAGGTCCAGGCCTTCTATGAAGACTTGAGTGGCCGGCAGTACGTGAATGAGGTTTTCAACTTCAGTGTGGACAAGCTGTATGACCTTCTCTTCACCAACTCGCCCTTCCTGAGGGATTTTATGGAGCAGCGGAGATTCTCTGGTCTGATTTGCAGGGCTGGCCCCTCCCTGACTATTCACCCTCCCTCCCTCTGCATTCTCTCRCTTCTCCTTCCTCTTTTCCCTCTCTTCCTATGCAACCCACCTTTCCAGGGTACCTTCTGGCCCAGACCCCCTCTTTCTGGCCTTACATGTTGCTGGAGCTCCCTCAGGGCCCTGTTTTCCTCTGTTCCCTGAGTGCTGTTTTTACATATGCCCCTGTCCTTCAAGTATCAAGAACTTTCCAGTGATCAAGACCTATTACACGTCTTGGTCTCTGCTCTCTGCCTTCATGGGGCTCGCTGTCTAGTCAAGGGCAGCAGTGCTTCCTCACCAGAAGCCACCCACTCTTTGCCAGGCACCTTGCATTATCTCATTCAGCCCTCACACCTGCCTTGTGTACAAGGTATTAGGTTCCCCCCACCTGATGACCTTTCAGGACGCTAAAACCCATGCTGTTATTATTCTCCTACCTAATGTAATTACAAGGGGCAGAGCCAGGATTCATATCTAGGACTCTGGGGTTCATGCTTTGACCCTCCCTATTCCTCTCTCATTCTCTCTCCACATTTCTTCCCACATCAGGGACATAGCACCGACCTAGCAGGACTGCTAAGCCTCTTGCTCTGAGAAAAAGCATTGGGGGTAACTGTGAGCCCTTCTGCCAGAAGGGAACATGCTGAGAACACGGGAGGTCAAACCCTAGAGGCCAAGACTTGTTCCCAAGGGATCCCAGGCCCTTGCCACAGTAACTCCAGTGTTGCTGGCACCCCCGCAGGTGGCCCCAAGACCTCCTGCCCCAGCCTAGGGAACAATCAGCATTCTGGAGCCCTGTGTAGAATTTCGGCAATGCTACAATGAGCCTCTTTTTGCTCTGACTCCCCCTCCTCCTGCCCTCCCTCCAGGCCCTCAGGCTCTCATTGGCTTCCTTTGGGGGGCCTGTCTAGTCAGCACAGAAGGAGGAGTTCAATGGGGAGATTCGGGTGTGGGGAGCAGTGCTACTTTCCCTCCCTCACTTCAGGGCCCTTCTCCACCCTCAGATATCATCTTCCATCCATGGAAAAAGGAAGAGAATGGAAACCAGAGCCGAGTGATTCTTTATACCATCACCCTTACCAATCCCCTAGCTCCCAAAACTGCCACTGTCAGGGAGACACAGGTGAGCAGGAAGAAGGCAGAGGCAAAGGAGAATGGGCTGGGAAGTCCTGCTCTGGTGTGAAGGGTGAGGGCTGGTGTACGGGGGACGGTTCTCGGTGCAGGTGTGTTAACACCCATCTGGATGGCAGCACCTTGCCAGCTCTGAGGCCACCATTTCCCACGGTTCTGCATCTTCTGTTGCAAGGTGGTGGGTGGGGTGGGGAGGTGGGAGAAACCACTCCTCCTCTTGCTGCTTTCGGTGTTGGCCAGTGAACTTTTTCTCCCCACAGACCATGTACAAGGCGAGCCAGGAGAGCGAATGTTACGTGGTAGACGCGGAGGTCCTCACCCACGACGTGCCCTACCACGACTACTTCTACACCATCAATCGCTACACACTCACTCGCGTAGCCCGGAACAAGAGTCGACTCAGGTGGGTGTGTGGGGTTCAGATGGGTTCTTTATGTCACACAATGTTCATCAGCTCCCTAGGGTGAAAGAAGATCCTTCTGGCTCTTGATTCTACCTTCTCTCTGAAGCCTTCTGCCACTCCCCATCTTCCCGTCCTGACAGTTCCTTATTCTCTCCACCATGTATCCCTTCATCACTGGGTACATCTCTGTAATGAGACCTTTATTACCACCACTGTTTATTGAATGTCTGTAGTTTACATATTACTATGTAGGTGCCTCAATTACATTCATTAGAATCTTTAGAATGGCCCAAGGAGGCAGATTTATTCTCACATTCAGATATATAACTTTGCCAAGAATCATGTTCCCAGTTAACACTGAAACTCAGCTCTTAGAAACAAAAGCCTGGGCTCTTTCCCATGTCACAATTTCCTGTTTGCCTCCCCTGCTGGACTTTTAGCTTCACAAGAACAGGAGTTCCAGCACCTCCCACCCCCCCACCCGCAACCTGGTTCCCAGCTTGTAGCACTGGGYGTGCTCATGAGAGTCCAGGAAGTGTTGTTTGAATGAGTTCTGGGCACTCAGAGAAAGAAATTTAGACCCTGAAATTATAAGAAGTATGTTGTCTAATTGAAAAGTCACCTGTATCATAGACCAAATTCTTTTGATTTTTAAGGAGCAAGAAACTCATTGATGTAGTTCAAATAAAATAGGAGTTTAGTAACAGGTTCTGCAAAGATCTCTTGGGAGTTAGAAAAAGCTCAACATCTGAACCTCAGGAACACCCTGCATCTTTCTTATCCTCTTAGGTGTAGCTTTTATTTTGGAGTGGCGGGGAGAGGAGCRTTGTGCTGCTTGTCTAACCTAAGCCTTCCTTCTCTTTCCCTTTTCTCTCACCTCTCTCCTGTTTCTCCTGTCCTTTGTCCACCCACCCCCACCAAGAGTCTAGGTTTCTTAGTTCTACTTTCCTCAGATCTTTCAAATGCATGTCCCATCTATGCACTCCACAGAGAGCTAGCTTTGACCTTTGTAGGAAAGTGCTCATCCTTCATCTAGTGACTAGGTCTTGAGCATCAGGCCGGGATGGAGGCAGCATCCCAGAGGGGGATAAGCAGAGCAGGTAGTCTTAAACATGGGGTATACGAGCTGGGAGAATCTTTTGACAGGCTCGTGCCCACCGAGAATGAAAGGAGCAAAACTGTGTATGCAGGGAAAGAACTCAGTATTCCAGAGGTAGGGGCAATAGCATGACCAGTGACTGGGGAAGGGACTACCTGGAGAAGAGTAAGAGCTGGCGAGGTTTTGGGTGCAATGGAGAAGCAGGAACTGGGGCCAGGAGCAGAAGACACTCTTACAGGTGGAGGTAATGAGACCCCAGAGCCTGACTTGTGTTTGAAGGGCTCGACTTCAGCTCTGAAGTCCCTTGGCTAGCTGGCAGCCTGCTTGGCACCCATCTGGAGGCCCYTTGGATGGAAGCAATGTGGCAAAATGAAAGAATTCTGGGTTTGGAGTCTGAAGCCCTTGTTGTTAGCCTTTGACCTGCTTAAATATTCTAAATTTCAATTTTCTCAACTGTAAAATGAGAATAAATCCCAGTGACCTCAGGGGATAGCCAAGGAGATATGAGATACGATGGAGATGAAAGGACTTTTGAATATGTAAAGTGCAATACAAACGTGAAACTGCCTTTGCCTTAAACATGAACTTACCTTCCCTGGCAGAGGAGGGTCCACCTAGGAAATGACTTGTCTTGTTTTTGGCTTGTCCCTCAGGGTCTCTACAGAGCTGCGATACCGAAAACAGCCCTGGGGGTTAGTAAAAACCTTTATCGAGAAGAACTTCTGGAGTGGGCTGGAGGACTACTTCCGCCATTTAGGTGGGTACTACCCTCATTGTTGCTGGTTGAACTGCAGGACCTGGGTGACCTGTATGGTTGTCACCATTCAGGGGAATGAGAAACTGAGATAACAGAGTAGTTTTGTGTGATCTTTATATTCGCCCCCCCAAAATGGATACCAAATTTGGCATGTATGTGAAATGTGTGCATTTTTTCAAGAGACTAGTCTATCATTTTGTGAGATCATTAAGGCAGCTATAATATCCCCCTGACATGAACCCCTAATCTAGTGATACTGGTAGTAATTGTGTTATGAGAAGGATCTGAAAATTGCCTATGGATGCATCTATTTAGAAGGTGTGTAATATGCCCCAAATCACACACATGTGGATGTAGACATTGGGACATAGCTSTATTGGACAATCCAGAAGAGGGGTTTGGGCAGGGTTAGGATCCAGTAATGCCTCCCACTGGTATCCATGAGGATCACTGTACCCACCTGGCCAACTTTGGAGGGTAATGTAGGAAAAATGTTTCCTGTACTCCTTCTGGAGACAGGTATGTGAAGGTGGCCTCTGATGTGGCCCTGTTGTCTGTGCTAGAGAGTGAGTTAACCAAAACGGAGAGTACCTACCTGGCTGAGATGCACAGACAGTCTCCCAAGGAGAAGGCCAGCAAGCCCCAGACCGTGCGGAGGAGAAAGCGTCCCCATGCCCACCTGCGGGTACCTCACCTGGAAGAAGTAATGAGCCCCGTCACCACACCCACCGATGAAGATGTGGGCCACAGGATCAAGCACGTGGCAGGTTTGTTCCAGTTGGGGACAGTGGTGTGGGCTGGGTTTTGGGCAGGAGCTACATGCCCCTGCCAGGGCACACATGTGGACACTCCTTTTGCGCCTTGGGTGTAATTTGTATATGATTCATGTGTAACTCACTAAATCTGAGGCTTCTCATGCTCCGTCTACTTCTCYTTACCAGTTAAGTTCCTCAGCTTCACTGATCCCTTACATGTACTCTGCTTAACAAAAGTTGCCTTTGGGCCTATGACACCTAAGCTCCATGGCTATCTGTGTAGGCTCATGTATGCAGCCTCCACATTCTTTGGAAATACACTAAGAAGAAGCTGAAACCCAGATCCTAGAGATGAACTCATATTACGAAGGTCAAGGAGTCCAAAATAGTCAAGGGTCTGCCCACCCAGGCTGTGCACTCCCCTGGTAGCTCCTCCTCTTCCCATCCRGGCTTTCACAGCCTCATATCTTTACTCAGTCATGGAAACCTGGGGTGATAAGGGGCCTAGAGAGTGATGAATGCCATATTTCATAAACCGTGCTCCACATGTACCTGTGAGTTCATCAGCGCTGCATGGGGACAGGGAAGGAGGCGGAGGAAGAGAGGAGAGTGCCAGTCTTCCATGTCCCTTAGTCTTGCCCAGAGCACTCCCATGGGTATATGTATTACACAGAAAATTTCAACTACTATTGCATTTTAATAAACTGATTCTCGGGTTGCGTGACTTGCCCAGCATTGTGTTATACAGGAATTTAGGGCTGGAAGCAGCTGCATCTAGTCCTTTCCCAGCGCTGTTTCCTCTTCCTTAGGCCAAGACCACTGTCCTACATCATTATATTTTAGCCACACAAATGAGAAAATCTAMTGATTTTCTCATTTGCTCAGTGTTTACCTGAACCAACCCCGGACCTTGCCCTTGAGGGGCTTATCTCCTGTTGCAGAGCTGGGCATAGCCACCATACCCATCAGCAGCACCATGGACCCCTCCCTGATGTTTCTGGCCTGACCATTATCATGTCAGCAGTTAGGAAACTTGTGGGCCATGACAATGACAGCCTGTTTATTCTCCCACAGGTTCCACGCAGACACGGCATATTCCCGAAGACACTCCCAACGGTTTCCACCTGCAGAGTGTTTCTAAGCTGCTGCTGGTTATCAGCTGTGTGTAAGGAACTCTCGGCTGTCCTCCCATCCTTGCCCCAATGCCTTTCCTTTCCTGCCTGGTGCAGGAAAATCATCTCCCATCTCTCAAAGCATTTATTTAGTACCTTTTCCCCTGTTTTTTTCTCTTTTCTTTCTTTCTCTTTTACTTTTTTTTTTTTTTTTTAATCCTCCATTGTTCTCTGCCTGGATCAGTTACTTAGTCCGTCATTTCTCACCTCTTTGCTTCTTTTTTCTCTGTTTTACTCAGCACTAATGCTGGTCTTCTAGGGGAAAAAAATGCTGTATGTAGCATCCATGCCCTTGAGGAACTCAGTGAGTGAAAGAGATAGGGCATTTGGAATTCTGCACAATAGGATAACTGCTAACATAGAGAGACTACAGAACACTTTAGGCATCCAGTCATTTGCAAGAGATGTTCTGACTGCCTGCTCTGTACCAAGCACTAGAACCATGTATTCATGGAGCCCATGCTTTGGTGGGGCAGCCAGAGGAAATCAGTGACTACAGCACAGGAAAAGTAGATGCTTATTTTAATATACATGGTTTATAATTGCTATGACATTATGAAACCAAAGGCTCAATAACTTGCATAAAAAGTTACTGAGTTAGGTAGGTGGGAAGTTGAAACAAGTGAAGACATAAGATAGGAGATCGAAACTAACAATCTGATGGGCAAGTGTATGCCATCACTTGCCCAGGACTTTTTAAAAGCATTTCAAGCAGGAAGCAGCTAGGACAGCTTGCCATTGCCTGGCATCCTACCCCTTCCTTGTGGGGGTGAGCTATATAAGAGTGTGTAGGTGCCATGGGGGTGGGTGGGAAACATGACAGCTACCCAGACGTGGGTTCTGTTGAGCACTGGGCACCTGACGATCTCAAGTTTAATTTTGCTTCTATAACTTCCCCAGCCATTCCTGAAATAGGAAGGTAGAGCCATTCGGACAGTGTTATCTTCAAGGAAAATCTAGAGGAAACCCACAAAAAAACATGGTCAAATTTATATTATGGCAGTATGGCCAATGGATTAGAGAAGAAAAGATTGGAGGCAGGAGGTCCATTAGAGTAAATCACAGTGATATAAGTGAGAGAGTCTGTCAGACTGAGGTGAGGGACTAGATCTGAGAGGTTCCAGAAGGGAAAGACTCATTAACCATTTGGTTATATTTTTGATATGCTCCTGATTCAAGGAAATGTAATTGGTTGTATCATTAACAGAAATGTGGAATTAGTGGAAAGATGTCAGAAAAGACACTTTTTGGCTCCACGTATGTCAAAATACTTCAGGTTATCCAGGTGGAGATGCCAGATACCTGTTGATATGGACCTGGCATTATGAGACAACTGTAGGCTGCAGCCACAGATTAATTTTCCCTGGCATTAAAGCCATGGGTGCAAATGACACCATTCATGCAATGTATGGTATGTTATGGAGGCAGGGGACTGGGGACTCCTGACAGGAGAAAACCTTGAGGAGCATGAGTAACCTTCTTAGAAACCTTTCTTGAACGAATAACATAAAAGTAGTCTTTTGACTCTAAGAAACCAAGACATCATTGCAAAATTAAGTTCAAAGACAACTGTAACCAGTGAGATTCACGTTTAGCAACACTAATGTGATTCTGGCATTTTTCATTTAAAACTGTATGTCTGGTATTGGATTTTATTAAATGGAAAACCACAACATCTAGTCCTGGAGTTAAGCTGTCTCTGCATTTTGACTTGACTTCATCAGATAGCATGATATTAACTAGCTTCTGGGCTTTGTTTGTTTAGGATAATAATCAGACTTCTAATTGAACATAATAGGAACCAGGCTTAGGGTCTGGTGAGAGCCAGCCAGAATGTGAAACAGACTGGCATGGCACCAATTGTCCCCGTGTCTGGCAGACTCCTGCCACCATCCACCTGCCATGCTGTGACTCAGCCTCCCATCTCTTTTCTCTGTTTAGACCACTGCAGAACCTCCAGCTAGACAGCACATGGGGGTGTCCCTTGACCTTTACTTTGCACAGTCAGAATTATAAACAGTAACCCACACGCAGGCAGGAAGATCATGTGCGGCACTTGAAGAGGTGGGCGTTCAGATGATCCAGTGTGTGCTAATATATGGACAGACTGGATTATTGAAATGCAGCACAGAATTTAAAAGCTCTCATGTAGAACTCAGAATACCTCCAGGGATTTGCAGCAACCACTTGAAGGAAGACAGAGTTCCATAAGGCCAGAAACACCAGTTTCTCACTGGTGTTCAGACTCCCCCCCAGGTACACATGGAAAAGTCTAGCTAGCCTGAGCATTTCTTTCTCCTTTGCCGTTCTTTTCTTTGCCTGTTTTACCTTTCCTTTTTTATCCTCTTCTCTCTTCCTATGTGTATCTATACCTCCTCCTTTCATGATAAGAGTCACCCCTTGTGATAGGCTTACTGTATGCCAGTGTTTTTGACATACATTTCATTCATGGATCAACCCCAGTGGGGTAGGTATTATTGTCCTGATTGAGAAAACTGGGTTTCAGAGAAGCTAAGAAGTTTGATTAAAAGTTAAGAAATAATGGGTTGAGCCAGGATTTGTCCCCAGTGTTCAATATCTATGGGTCCTCTCTTTACCTGTCTTTCTCCATCCTATGAGCTTCTGTCACAAAATGACCTTCAGGCAGCCATGGAGGCCAAGAGAAGACAATTTACACAGTGTCCCTGTAACTCTTCATTCTCCACGGGGCCCTCCGTCCCCTAGTTATCCTCACTCCTCCCTGTCTCTGACCCAGACTCTGGGAGGCCTCAACTGGTCCCTTCTGGAGCTTGGCAGGTGCGGGGAGGGAACATGGCAGCCTCAGGGAAGTTTGGTCGCACCTATAAGGCATATCTGGGAAGAGCTGGAGATCCCACTGAAATTCTTCCTTCAGTTCCACCCTTCATTTGTGTCCTAACATTGGGTCCATGRGGAGAATCTTTTCTTAATTCAGCACCCACAAAATACCAAGGGTCACCGCGCTATGCTCTCTTGCTCTTTCCTTGCTGGGTCTCCTCATCTGTCATGTCTTTGCTGCTAGTATTTCCTTCTCACATAGGCTTACTTGCCGTCTGGCTCAGTTCAGGTGCAGTTTCCTCCTTCCCCACACTCCTGTTTCTAACCTCTGCCTCCTCCCCATTTTTCTTCCTTGCTCCCATTAGGATCTGTTTCAGGTACTGGCTCTATGATTACTCCCTTTACTCCCTCATCTTTTTTCCACTCCACCTTACATCTCTTCCCACAGGCACCCAGATTCYGGGTGTCTATGTGTCCTCCCTTCCTGATGCCTTCACACCATACCTCTCTCCATGGCTTCAGTGCTGTGCCCCAACCCCTCCAGATGAGGCTGCTTCTCTCTCTCTCCTCCCGCACTCACTGCATCCCTCTGGCTCACTCACTCATTTGCTGCAATGCTTTGGATGACCCACTGGGCAGGCACAGAAGCCTCTGGGATGGGGGAGATCCCTAGCTCCTATTCCGTCTCATTGTCATTGCTTGTCCCCCATGTCTCCCTCCTAGTCTGGTGCTGCTGGTCATCCTTAACATGATGCTCTTCTACAAGCTCTGGATGTTGGAATACACCACCCAGACCCTCACTGCCTGGCAGGGTCTAAGGCTCCAAGAAAGGTAATCCTGCTTCCACCCTCTCCTGGCCCCATCTCTACCCCACCCAGGCTGAGTCCTGCCTCCTGCCTCCCCTGGGACTGACTGCCCCATTGCCCTTGCCCAGGAGACAACCCTTTGGGTTATCCCTATAGTTTTCATCTACTTCCAATTTGGGGCACTGGGGACTCAGAGGCAGGAAGCAGAGGACAAAGCACTCTGATGTGACTCTCTGTCCTTTAGGGGTCTGGGAACACAGGAGAGTCCGCTGAGCATAACTCCAGCTGCTGGGGCACCCCTTCTTCTACCCCACAGGTTACCCCAGTCTCAGACAGAATGGGCCCAGCTCTTAGAGTCCCAACAAAAGTACCATGATACTGAGCTCCAAAAGTGGAGGGAGATCATCAAATCCTCAGTGATGCTCCTAGACCAGGTGAGATGCCCGCCCTCTCAGCTTCCCCTMGTTGGCAGGAGACAAGATCCTTCCTTTATGCTCTGAGAAACATTACCACCTCTATCACCAGCCTCCCATTGATATTTTCCTCTCCTTCATTCTTCTCCCTGGCCATTCACTATTCTAATGTTAAAGCAAGCCCTTCCTGAATAGGCTATTGGAAACAGAGGTACATTCCCCAAAATAACAATTAAAAAAAAAAAATACATTGGATTTGCAGCAAGAAGGCTGTAGGTTAGATGGAAGGAGTACTTATTTATTTACTTATTTTGGTAACCTATAGTCATCGAACAGGCATTAAAACAACAAACTCCCCTTTTACAGAGATTTGTCTTCCCAGAGGACATGTCTAATTCCTTTTCATGTATACCACCCCCTCAAAGGCCCTATACTAAGAAGATAACTATTATGTCTTTACTTGACATTTTTTTTAGTACARTTGCCTGTTTTCCTCAGAAAACCTAAATTCAGCTGTTTTAAGAAAATCATCCTATGGCAAAAAAAAAAAAAAAAAAAGAAAAGAAAGAAAGAAAAAAATCAATAATTAGCCTAATTTCCTTGGGAGAAGGAGCTTCCTTCTTCCCTCCAGAAAAATTTAAGAATCTTTTAAAAATGCCCCCAGGGCATTGTCAAGACTGCAGGAATTACCTTTGCTATCAAGAGAATTAGGTAGATAATAGACCTAGAATTTATCTTGCTGCATTAAAATTTCTATTCCCAAAGAGGTGTCATTCTGATGTTTTGTATTTAGCTAGCCCTGAGCTGGAATCCTTGCTTTGCTCTAATTAGTTTTATGACCTGGAGCAAGAGATGTTAACATAGCATCAGTTTCCTCATTTATAAAATAGGGATTGTGTCTGTAACTCTGAGAAACTGCCACCAGAATTTGATGGCACCTGGAAGGCACTCACTGACATCAAACCTTACTTCCCCTTCATAGCTTGGTTTTGTGCTGAAATAAGGAGAGATATTCTCAATACAATTAATAAGACCCAGTTTAGCATGTTTATTAGAATACCAGGTGTAGCTCTGGAGCTATGTTTAAGAAGGGCATTTCTGGGGGCAACGTGAGCACACCAGTTTCCAGACATCGGGATCAACAGGCGAAGGGTTAGTTTACGTGTAAAACTCCAGAGGTCTGAGTTAGGCCTACAAGTTACAAGGAGTCAAATTTTTGAGTCATCTACAGACTCCTTATGGTTAGAGCAAAGGAGTGGGCTGCTTTGAAGGACTGAGGTTCCAACATTAAAAGTGCTTAAGAATCACAAGATGATGTTGGACAAGGAATGTAAAAATTAAATGGGAGGCAGTTTGGAATGGACACCCCAGGGATCGCTTCCAATTCTAGATTTTTCATTTTTTATTTTTCTGGTTCTGAGGATTGAAATCAGGGCCTGGTGCCCGCTAGGCAAGCACACCCTACCACYGAGCTATATTCCCGGTCCTTCCAACTCTAGAATTCTGTTTCAAGGTGGTTCCCCTTCACTGGGACTTGGGCTGTCAGATTCATAGCCTCACGGATGCTATGGTTTGATGGGCCCCTTCTGATTTCCCCACTGGAACTGCCCTATCTAGGCTCCATCCCATGAGGCCTGGAGGAGAAAGACGATTGTAATCCAGAGACCGTCTGGATTTGTTCTGGGCCTTTACAGAAGGGTGAGATTGGAGGAGGCAAGGCTGAAAGAACAGGGTGGCAAAACGTACAAAGACAGGAGACAGAATGTTCTGAATCCATGTTAAGGAAGTGTTAGTCTAAAGTGGCTCCTCACAGCAGCCAAAAATGCTTAGAGAAGAGTTTCTCATTTCAGTGGTACTGAGGGTCACAGATCGCCAAGACATGGCAGGATCTACCTAAGGGCTTTCCAGTGCTGTCTTAGTTGTCCCTACCCAAGASTGCGCCCCTGGAAACCATCCGGACTTTAGAGTAGCCCTGTGGCAGGTGCTGCTGTATGGAGAAGCCCACTGAGAGCCCAACCTGGGCCTGGGGTGGGGTTCCCTGTCTTGCAGATGAAGGACTCACTCATCAATCTTCAGAACGGCATCAGGTCCCGGGACTACACGTCTGAAAGCGAAGAGAAGAGGAACCGTTATCATTGACAAGGCAGGAACAGGGGTGGCTGGCTGCAAGAGGCCTGTGCAATACATGTACATAGACCCTATAAATATATATATATGAATATATATATATATATATACAGAATATAAATATATATTATATACAGATTTTAAAAAGAGATAATGCCTATGTACCCGGGAGAAGGAGCGGGACCTCCCGCCCCCTGTGCTGGCCGGAGCAGCGTTTTCCCTCGGTGGAGGGGCCGAGGAGGGCAGGGACCACCTCTCAGCACCGACCTCCCCTGATCCTCCTCCTCCCATCCTCTGTTCCTCACCCCTTCCCTTGCTGGCCATTCTTGGCTCTTAGAAGGGAAATGTCACTGAGCCAAAGTTATGCCTGTAAAGACCCTTGGGGTCTTGAAAGAAGTCTCAAGGGGGCATTGCTTAAGGTGCTTCATCCCCCAATCCCCCTTTGATTTGTTTCCAAAATAAACAAGAATCTGTTCTTCCCTACCCTCACGTTTCCCCAGGTGTTCTCTTGGACACAGAAGCATCAAGGGCAGGAGCCCAATGTAAACTCTCCCGTAGGAGGCCATTGATATGGCCCATGCTAGGAGCCAGGTGGAGAGGACTGTGAAAAGCTAGCAAGGCTGCATTTGTGGGATTGTGCTCGGGAGCTGCAGGCTCCTGAGCGCCTRCATTCTGAAGGGTTTTCTCCTCAATCACCCCTGCACCTTGCTCTGACCTGTGTAGGGTGTGGACCTAATAAGGGCTGGGAATCTGTAATTCTCCCACCCCCTTTCTCTCTGGTCTTCACCCAGGCTGGATCTGGGTGAAGTGTCACTTTTTAGTGCCTAAAGTCCTATTGTTTCTCTGTGCCCTAAGAGCACATTGTTTATTAGCCAGGGTGGAACATTTTTTGACCTTGTTAAACCCCTTTTAGTGGTTAGAGACAAGTCGGGTCTGTGGCTCTAATTCTTTCACTTTGAGCTGTGAGTTTGATTTTTCTGGATGAAACAGGGTGTCCTAGGCCCTCGAGGGTTTGAGAGAGAGATCACCCTAGCAACCTATGGATTGCAGGGTCTGCCCTAGAATACTGTGTGAGTAGGGAGCACCAGTAGCCAAGCCACTCAGTGAGTTATGAACATCATTTACTCTTGGTAAAAACAAGCCTTAATCAGTTGAGATGACTAAGACACTGTGTGTGGTAGAACATCTAGGCCATGAGAGAGAAGGATTTGGCAAGGGTGCATTTGCTTGGGCAAGAAATAGGTAGGCGTATCTCGCCACTGCAATCCTGAGATTCTTGGGTTTGGGAGTGGGATTTCTGGTGGGTTTGGGTGCAAATCCTTCCCTGGTTCCTGGCCCCAGAGAGGTAATGAGGTCACTATGGAGTAGAAAGAAGATGGTAGTTAAGGAGCATGAGCTAGCTAGCACCTTTTCAGAGTTGATCCACGAGGGCCCATGCTTTCCTCTGGACCTTTCTGGGCACGTTCTTCATCCTTCATACATTCACTTCTGTTTCTCCTTATGATGACCAGGGGAGTCCTGCCAGTCCTGAGCACAGCTCATGGAAAATTGGTCATTTAAGAACTATAGCCAGTTTGGCCAGAAGAGCTTCCAAGCTTGTTCCATCTCTTGTTCCAAAATTAGATTTTCTCTGTAATTTAGCCCAAACAGAAAGTTAGATCCCTTTCTTAGAATGGCCTGAGCATTTCATTTTAGCCATTTAAAGAATAATTGTTGACCTTTCCATCTGTCTAAGAATAAGGCCTTGGTATTTCCTCAAGAGCAGAATGAGAAAGCCTGAGGATACTTTCCCAGGTCATCCTCTGAAGAAAGAGAATGGAAAGGCTCTGGGTGGTCAGCCAGCATTGATATCCCTCTTCTGGAAAAGTAGAGGTGAGGAAAACCATCAGTGTAAGGATGCATATGCCCAGATGGCAGCTGGTTACCCCTCAGTTCTTGTCCAGGACTTTCAGAGAAAGACATTGGTGAGGGTCAGGGCCCTTGAGCCCTGAGCCAATAAATGAGGAATGGTGCGGATGGATAGAAATTTTCCCCCTTGGGGTAGCCAAAGCCAACATTACTCCCCAAAACTCTGGCAAGCAGCAATTGTGAATTCTTAAATTTATTCCATGCATTATTTATATTTAAGTTATGTGACCACTAAAAATGCCATGGACACTTTAGGGTGACTTAAAGGGGGTTCATTGCTGAGAGTAAATTGACCAAAGCGTATTTGACAGAGAGTTCATTGCTTTTGCTTTAACTCTCAGGATCAATCAGAGGAGGAGCAAGGAAGAGGGAAACTTCGGCTGTTTGAGGAACCCTCCTTTTTTCTGGTGATTTGAACCCAGGAGAAAATTGTGCACACCAAGAGAACGTCCCCTAAGAGTCATGGCTCTTTCATAAACTCTTTGTTCTAACATTGTTTTGGCTTTTAAATCAGGGTTGGGGGAAAACTATTCACTCCCCTGCAAAATCTTTTCCTCCTTAGTCAATAACTTGCAAAAGAAAAGTGAATTCACCCTCGCAGATAAGTCTCGGAGTGAAACAAATACATAAATACTTGGCATTAATTCCTGGCCAGTAGCCTGGTGAGTAGTTGTCTACAAGGGAGCATGAAAGCCACCACTGATTGTGTTATTTCCTCCAGTCAGTGATATCTGTATCTATAAATATACAGATACAACACAACTGTAGATCAAGATTTTTCCTTTTTTGCCTGTTTCTCTTGACGTGAGAGTGCTGGGGTCACACAGAAGTCTTTCTGAGAGGATTTCATTCGATTTTTAAAGAGTTGGCAGAGTTTCTCACCTGTTGAAGCACAGCTACAGGGTCTCAACTTCCACTCCAGCTTACAGCGAAGGAATTTGCCAGATTGGCCTCAGAGAGACCAATCGTGTCTGCAGCCTTCTTCCCCTTCCTGTGCACCTCCCTGGGACAAGGGAACAATATCCAAGACTAGCAGGATCCTCAGCTTGACACTCTCAGCAAGAGAACTGGACTTGTTCTGTGTCATTGGGCAAGTCGCCCTCTGCTGCTGAGCTTCAGTACCCTCCTGTAACAGGAGCCGGCAGGGCTAGATTATTCCTAAGGCAGGTTCTAGCTTTGGCTTTGACTTGGAGGTTAGGCCAGGGTCTGGAAAGATGGGGCTTTTTCAGACTTGGAAGGTACAGCTTCTCTGGTATGTAGTAGGCAGTAGGGTGGTTTGTGGGTTTCCAAGAAACCCAAGGTATTTAAACTTTTTTTTCTTAGGGGCTAAGAGGGCTAGGGAAACCCAGTGGCAGAGAGAGTATTGTTCAGTGTTAACCTAATAGGGTGTTTCTTTATTGGCCTAGTTTTAGTCTGAGAAGGGCACTTTCTTTGAACCCTCTCGAAGCTGGGAGGAGAAGGATAATGGTGAGAAGAGCACCATCTTCAACTGAGTTCATCTGCCATCTTTGGCACTTTGAAGCCTTTCATCTCTATACCCTTCCTCCTCGTGGACAGAGGAGTCAGTGGAGAAAARCCATTTCCTGTTCTAACTTTTCTCTTTGGCACAACCAAATCCATGTTGGGGTTGGTTGAAGTATGAGGCTTGGCTAAAGGCTTGGGTTGTTTTGGGCACTGGCAATAAGAACTTGGGATTGCAAGGAGTGGAGTGGACCAAGAGACTTCAAGGAAAGCTATCTCAGAAGTGGATTATTTCCATGTCCCTGTCTCCCACTCCCACTTGGACTGTACAAATTGCCTTTGCAAGTAGCGTTTCTAGGATCAGATCTTGGAGAAATGAATAAGGGAAGAATATTTCTGGATTGCTTGCAGTCTCCGAAGGGTCCTTTCTGTGCCATACCATGACACTTTTGTAGCTCTGCAGGGCATTCAAAGATAGCCTGTTCCCACTAGGGCCCCCAGGAGAAATAGCACTTTTCTCTCTTCTCCCAGGAGGCAGGGCTGTGGTCTCCCTCCCTATACCCCTARACCCCACCTGCCTACTCTAGTAGGAATCTCAAGGATGTTCTTCTGACTCTTTCCCTGCTCCTCCCATCTCTAGGCTGTGGGACAATCATCCCATTTACCCCTTGACATTGACATCCTCRACCCTCATCCCCCAACCTCCAGCAGGCTGGCCCTACTCCCTTCCACCTCTGTCTTCTTCCAGAAGATGCATTTTGAGTCCAAGAGGAGTGTTTTTCTGGAAGGCCATCATTCAACGCCCCTGCTTCCCTGATGTGGAGCAGGAATTTGCACATGGTGTAGAGAGCTCCCCCTCCCACCTCTCTGCCCAGCCTTGTTACCTCACTCCTGCTCCGGCCATGGCTGTGATGGGCCCAGCCAGCTCCCTGTCTTGGTGTTGTGTGTGACAGCTCAGGGGTCTTGTGACTCAAGGTCCTCAGCAGGCCTGGGAGCCCGGATTGGAGCCTTGGCTGCTGGTGAGAAGCACCTTGCCTGCCAAGATTTGCTGATGCCAGACGATCTCCCCAACATTTGAAGGCCTAAAGGACATTGTCATCTCGGCCCCTTGGCCCTCCTTGCTTCTCTCAACACAATAAGACATTGCAGAAACAAAATGGCGGCCTAYGCTCCAGGCACGACAGCAGGCTCTGTCTGGGGACTTGGCCCTGGGTTTGTGTGCCGTGTGCAGAGATTGCACAGTAAAAGCAACCATTTTTGCCAACAAGAATGTGTGGCTSCCCACATTCCCCTACCCTGCACTCTAGGGCCAGACCACTCTCTGCATGGACCAGACCATCTTCCCAAACCCATGGTGCTTTTTTCCCCCCCACTCAACCTAGACTCCAAGGTGGGAAGGGATGAATCAGAGGCCTTAGCGGCCCCTGGATAATCCTGACATGGGGTGGAGTGGGGTGAGGCAGTGGGAGGAGCCCCCAATACTTGCACTGGGCCATATGTGGGAAGGCTGATTGCATTTGAGTTGTCTGGCCATCCGTATTTGGATCTATAACTGTACTTTGCCTGGCGCTGTGCGCAAGGTCTGAAAACTTACTGCTAGTACCTAGAACCATACAAGGCTACCTAGCCAAATATTAATGTAAAGTAGCTAGAGCCATGGAAGTACAGTATGAATTAAAAGAAAAAAAAAAGTATTGAATTCCAAATAATGAATAGTGTGTGTGTTTATTGCTTGATTCATCAGTTCCCATCATCCCGAATGTTTCTGGTGTTCCCAGCTATGCTCACAGCACATCCTGAAGGTGTGTGCGTGGGCGGGCATGCAGGTTCACGCACAGCCATCCACCTCCAGGCAGGAAAGCAGCCTGATCAAGTGCAATGGAGAAGTTTTGGAATCACACCCGAGTACAGATTGCAGCATCACTATTTACCAGCCATGTGGCCTTGGGCTCCAGTTGTCACTCCAATCCTCATTGTTTTAAAAGTAAGACATATATTAAAAAGAACACATGCATCGCTTGGTATGGTGGCTGGTATTGTACTAGGATAATTTTTAATCTCCATCAGTAGTATTGTAGGAGTGTGGTGAACTGTGAATTCTGAAGTTTCTTTTCCCTTTGGGGGATTTTGTCATTTTCCAGGAAGATGGCCACTGGGCGGCAGCTTTATTTTATGCCTCTCTTGCCACAAGTGGTGGGCTAAGATCCAGTGTGGCCCTTGCTTCATAGCTTCTTCCTGCACAGTTAGCTCCATCTTAGGAAACTTGTTGGATGCCAGAAAAGAAGATATGTTTCTCTAGTGTTTTTGTGTTTGGGTAGAAGAGAAAGGGGGCAAGGAAAAGCTAGATCACACATTTAGCATATGTTTTTAATTGTAGATGATTAAATGTGTTTTCCCTTCTCTAGGCACATCCAGTTGGGTATAGGAGTTGATACAGATTGGAGGGGTTACGTAGAAACCATGCAGAATGGGGTGCTAGGTAGAAGCTATGCAGTAGTTACACATAGTAAGTAGCAAAACCAGAGCCAGTGGCTTTTAGAGACATTTTATTGACATTGTTTAACAGAGTTTACTGAAAAACACTACAAATAGGCATTAGGTTGTTGAGGGATAGGGTGGTGTTGGGAGCAACTTTTCTAGAGTTCAGAAAAAGACTGGCTGTGGAAAATCAAGAAAATGCCATATGAAGGTGATGATGTAGGAAATAGTCCCGTCTGTGCCGAGACTGTTTTCTAATTGTGTTCCACAAACCTACCAGCACATGTCCTTCAGTGACTTCCCTCCATATCACATACACTGCCCAGTAGATGCAGTTCTTGCCCAGTGGTGACGGGGAGAAGACAGAGCAATACTGGCTCTGCAGTTTAGCTGGCTTATGACAGAGGTTGAGGCTGACCTGTAGCTCAGGCTTGTTTAACAACTAGGACCTTCTATAAAATCAAGTGAGGAAGCGAGCTGAACTAAATATGAGGTACATTACCACCTTAGCTTTTAGAGATTAAGTAAGACTTAGATGATGCTCTTTTTTCAAGTCTAAGATCATCAGGCCTGTTTAGGGTCTAGGCTAGTATTCAACACAGTGGGTGCTGGAAAATGCAGAGTGAGTGGATATCAGACTGGTGAGCAAGCACAACAACCATCTGGATATATTTTCAGTGACTACGTGAATTCACCCTAACTCAGGGTTTTCTCATTTACAAAAAGAGCTGAGACGGGCTTTTTTCCCTGCCCCTCACTTCTACCATTTCCATGTGAAACTGGGAAAGTGGAACAAAAACATTTGAAATATGTCTAGCCCTTGCTTCTCCTTTTTTCTTGCAATGATGCAATCTTATAGACTTTTCCCTCTGATGTGTAAAGTASGTTCAGAGATTCTAGATATATTTTTCCTTTTTTTCCCTCCACTTGAGACAGGGTTTCACTATATTGCCTAGGATGATCTTAAACACATGGGTTCAAAAGACCCTCCATCCTCAGCCACCCCAGTAGCTGGGACTACAGGTACAAAATGCTGCATCCAGCTCATATATTGCTTTTTGATGTAGTAGTTCTCGGGAGGAGAGGGATCCACTGTGTCTCTTTTTTTWATTTTTTGGTACCAGGGATTGAACTCAACCACTGAGCCACATCCCCAGCCCTATTTTGTATTAGGGACAGGGACTCACTGAGTTGCTTAACGCCTCACATTGCTGAGGCTGGCTTTGAACTCACCATCCTCCTGCCTCAGCCTCCCAAGATGGTGGGGTTACAAGTGTATGCCACCATGATTGGCTTATYTCCTCTTCTTAAGCGTTCAACGCTCTACACACTTCCCAGCATATTTCTGATTTGAAAATTTCTTTTCTACTAATATTTCTAGTTCGACATTCAGGAGAAACCAGAAACTCAGAAGGATATGTGGATGTGCAGATGTTTGGGGAAACCAAAAGACAATGCTGTTAAACAGACTAAAAATGAAGGTTGGGATAGGGACGGGAACTGACTGTCCAGGTATTTTCATGCAGAGTTTGGGGCTTTGATATAAAACTAGATGGTGGTAAAGGTCAACAGGGCAAACTGCTCCCAGGACCTATAGAGTTGAGCAATCAAGTTCATGGCTGTTAAGCAGTAAGAAAGGGAAAATCACACTCAGCCTAGCTTGACCTTTAGTGAATTGTGTTACTGAGGATTAGTCATGGGAAACATCCAGCACCAAGACAACAAATGGGGTTTCTAAAGTGATTATAGCCCTTGAAAACTCTTCTAAGCCCTTTAATAAGTAACAACATACCAGATAAAGCTTCCAGAGCTACACGCATTTAAGTCAAGATCTTGTATAGGAATATGTGAAGAAACAGGGAGGTGAGTGAAGACTTCACATAGGCTGGTGATCACAGTACCTTATAGATGTATAGTCAAGATCAAGTCTCCCAGGAAGGAGTTGAATTGCAGTTTTGGAGAAATAATGATATACAAACCAACCAGAAGGAGAACCAGGGTGGAATGGGCTCTCAAAGCACATTTGTAGTATTTACCAAGAAGCAAAGTGGCAGAGAAGTAGGAGAGTGGGATTAGGGTGGAGAGAAGGTGGAGACATCTGGACAAGCAAGAGAGGCAGAGTCGGATGGGAGTTTAAAGTAAGAAAAGAAGCAGCTGAGGTGTAAACTGGAAGAGGAGTCAGGGGACCTGGATTCTAGCTCTCCACTGATCAGCAAAGTGACCTGATAATCTAGTAAAGCTACTTAACATTATAGCCTCCATTTCTTCGTTGGTAACATTGACTCTTAAGAACATTCACCTCACTGGAAGAAATGGARAAGAAATAAAATAAATGGAGTGAAAATGCTTTTGCATGCCAGGTAGCTCTTGCGAAGGTATCAAGGATGAGAAGTGTTGAAAATATTTAAAAAGAAACAAAGAAGATAACTTGTGAAGAATAAATGATCAGCATCATTCGGTCCATGAAAAATAATTTAGAAAACATCTAGTGTTGTTTTTTTTTTTAAATAAAAATGCAATCATGCATACCACTTGGTTACAAATTAAATGCATGGTCCACTGGAAACAAGGGGAAAGTGGAGTAGGAAGAACTGACTCGCTGCTGCTACAACCTCCACATCAACCAGGCTTGTGATTGGGTAAACCTCCCACTGATTCAGGTCCATTTTCCCAATTAAGAAAAATGCTCTATATCATCTCCTTTACTTCAGAAAGGTGGTGTGGCAAATTACCAATAAGAAGGGTCTTGAATTTATTGCAAATGTTTTCTTCAACACGTTAGACTCTCCATATGTGTTAAGGCTCTTATTTCAAGTACGTCCTCAGGGATGGAAGAGATGATGAGCTTGTCACGTGATGCCCAAAGCCAATGGAGAATAGGCTTTCAGATCAATTTCCCCAGACTTGAGGGCCTTCCTTCTTCTGGAATCCCAGCACTTTCGTCTTCTCATATCCCATAAAACCTCCCCCTCTCTTAGCACTAGGTGTGAAGGATATCACACATAGACACTTGGACCAGTCACTACATTAACAACAACAACGAAAAAAGAGAGACACTAACAATTTTCCCATCATTTTTCTGCTCTCTCAAAATTCAGAAAAGACAAAAACCAAAAGAAAACGAAAACACCTAAAAGTACAGATTCATACATAGGTGAGGTATTTGGATGCCACCTCCCCATCTTTCCCTTATCACTTTGTTCATCCATCCATCTCRGACTAACAAGTATTTTTCTTAGTTTGAATATTGTTCTCAGAGGCGATTTCCTCCTGGGGATGTATCGGATTCACACATCTTTATAGGAAATTCTTCCAGTCTATCTCATGTACTTCTGTGTCTCCTTCCTTGGCCAGTTTCTAGTTCCCTGAATCTATCAAAGTTAACCTAAGCTGTACCATCCACCTCAAATCTGTGCTTGTACAAAAGGCATGGCTACAGCCCAGCTCAATGTCAAAATCTTTTCAAAAACAGAATAATCCATACTTTGGGAGTGAAAACTGGGCAGCATCCAAAGCTTATCTCTGTATAGTTTGTCCTCTTAATTCTCTTATATGGTTGAGCTCTGTGTGAGCCTCAGTGGCCTCTTATAAAATGAGGACTAATACTGATCCACAGACAATTGGAGAGGAAGAACTCAGAAATTTCAGTCCCAATGCCCAGGTGGTGTGCTCCCCAGAAAGAGCACACATACATCATTCCAACAAAATCAGGAGTATGTTATATGGATTTTTAGAGCCACTTAAGATTGTCCTGGGTCCTTCCCCAGACTCTTGTCCTTGGCTTCATTGAAGGACTGGATGCAATCCAGGCCTTAGAGACCTATGGGGGATCTAGTCCTGGAGTACTAAGCTCCAGAAAGCATTTTAGTCTATGTTTAAGGATCTTTGTCACTGAAGAACCTAGAGAGGCATGCTTCTCTCTGATGCTCTAGTCAAGTGGGCCACACACTTGAAAAAAAACTGACTTCAAAGAGTCCAAGTACATAACATGCTTTTGCTTTTACTGAAACTAATAACTTCCTCCTTCCAGTAAGACATCCATTCTCTTGAAGCAATGGAGAATGAGCCAGTTCAGGCCAGTTGGGGGAAGAGGGAAATGCTACCTCCAGCATTGGTATGGAGTTATTTGGAGCACAGGGAGAAATCCAATTGGCACTGGAGCAGCTGGCTTGAAAGCGAGGATAGGCAAGGTTGACTCCTTGTGGATATGTTGGCTCCTCAGCTCTGGCAAAGTCTCATGGTGTGTGGAGTTCTGATGGAGTTAGGAAGTCAGAGGTGAAAGCTCAGAGGTGGGTGGATATATGATGAATGAATAGAAGGATGGATGCAGGAAGGGAAGCAATGGGGACCACGGGGGCACCTTCCTGATGCTGCTGACATCACGGAACCTGGGATAGCCAGTCCCTTAGTGTTCAGGACACCTACCAATGATAAAACAAATCACTCAGAATTTCCATCCCAGCCTAGTCCAGTCCAGCCCAGGCAAGTCCAAAGACACTGACCAAAAAAAGGGAGTGGAGAATTGTGCCCTTGTTACCATGGGCAAGGAGTTTGGCCTGGCAACACTCAGGTGAAAGAAATTCACCTTCTGAAGGGCTTGTCCGCATACACAGCTTTGTGACTTAGTCATCAACTTAAAGAAGTACCCTGAGGGTAGGGATACCAGACCGGATAGAAATCTAGAAATCCACTAAAGGGATCAAATTCAAGGTCATATCAGTTGTGGGTGACAAAGTCACTATGCACCCACCCATCTACATCCACCTTCCCCTCCCAAGTCCCAGGACCTCACCTCAAGTCATGCCACTCCTATTCCTCTACAGGCACTGCAGAGTTCTCCTTGTTCTCTGAAGGGATGGCAAGGTAGTCAGACCTATAAAGGAAGGGGAGGGGGGAAGAGGACCAGTGGGGCTTGTGAGACAAGGAGGAGCAGGGCACAGGCAAGGCTGTCTTCAGGACAGCTCTGCATTTCCTTCTGTGGCTGTTTCCAAGACAAAACTAGAATGACCCTTTCAACAGATTAGAATAATACATCCTCTCCTGTATTTGTACATGAACACACCCACTAGCAGTATCTGAGTCTTCTTATGAATCCACACTTATGCAGGACTTACCTAAAAAATACTGGCTAAACTGAATGGAAATGAAATTATATTTTATAGTTATTTTAATTTTTATTTTCCTGATTATTGGTAAAGTTGAGCATTTCTTCATGTGTTTATAGGCTGAGTTTCTCCTTCAATAATTTGACTGTTCTTTTGCTGTTTCAAGTGTTTCTTCTAAGATATTTGTGTTTTTTTCCGCACTGATTTTTTCTTTGACAGTTTCATGTCTTGAAAATTTACTTCAGTCTATTGTCTATAAATTTTTAGATGGATTTCTTTGGAATAAASAATTGATTTTTACATATAAGATAATGAGAAATGATCATATTTTCCTTCTTTGATTTGTACTTTTTGTATTTTATTAAAGAAATTCTATGTCCAGGTAATACTGATATTCTCTTACAATCCTTAATAGAATTTCCAAGTTTCACATCTTACTTTGTCTATAAATTTACTCAAAGTATTTTTGTTTAGCATAGAAGATGTGGAATTTTATTTTATTTTTCCTACATGGACAAGGAATCCTCCATCCACAACTTACTTGACAATTCCTTCTTCTCTCAGTGACTGAAATGACATCGATTTTATGTATTTTTTTATACATTCATTAATCTTTGGGGCACTTTCTGTTTTGTTCTGTTTGTGCATTTTATACCTATGCCAGGATCACAAACTGTTTACCCTGATAGAGCTATAAGCAATCTTAATCTCTATTAGCTTCAAATTAGTTAGCTACTTCTCCTGAACCTAATTGTTCCTTCTTTGAATTGACTTAGACCAGACATCTACAAATTATGGTTCACAAGCTAAAAATGACTGTTACTTGTTTAAAGTGTTTCAAACACTCAAGAAAAACAAAGAACAATGGGTGTCAGAGATCCTACATAGTTTTGCAAAACTTAAAATATTTACTACCTGGCTGTCCTTTGGTTTAGATAATTTTTGGCCCTTTGACCTTTCATGTGACCCTAAAAGATCAGCTTATCAAGTTCCTTAAAAAATTCATGGAGATTTTAATTGGGTTTCACTGAATTTGAAGATTAATTTGGGAGGGAATTGTTTTAATAGTGAGGATTTATTTTCCATCTGTTTGCTTTTTCTTGTGTCTTTCAGTAAAGTTTTATAATTTTCTTCTTAAAGGTCTTTCATATTCTTGCCAGATTTATTTCCAGGTATTGGATAATATTTGCTTATATTATAATTAAATTTTTAAATACATTCCTAAATTAGCTGTGGAATATAGGTGATTTTTATAAAGCCATGGGTTGTTCTACATTAGGAACATGTTCTGAAAAATAGATTGTTAGATGATTTCATCCTCATTGAACATCATAGAGTGTAATCACACAACCTAAAATGGCAGACACCACTGGATGACACAATTTATGGGGCCACCACAGTATATGCAGTCTTTATATTATGCAGTCATTATATTATGGATGTGAGCAATGATAATTTATTTTCTTCCTTTCCAATTTTTACCCCCTTTTTTTCCTTTGTATTACTTAGCATACTGGATAAGGTCTCCAATTCAATATTGAATAGAAGTGGGGAGAGATGATATTCTTGACATGTTCTAACATTATAGGCATTTCTTCCAAAGTTTCTCTTTTTTTTTAAAACCGTTGTTCTTTTCCAAAGTTTCAAAAGACATATATCTTCTGTAGACTATCTTAGTAGCTGCTGTTTATTAGTTTAAAGGAAGTTGGTGTTTAAACATAGATTTATTTATTTTTATCCTGCTCAGGACCTACAGATGTTCCTTGACTTATGATGGGGTTATGTCCCAATAAATTCACCATAAGTTGACAATATCCTAAGTAGAAAATATACTTAACATATCTAACCAACCAGACATCATAGCTTGACAATGTAGAACACTATAGAGAGATCTCACAGCTGACTGGAAGCTGAGCCTTGCTATTGCCACCCAGCAACGGAATTGAGAAAAAATTGAAATGCAAAATTTCAAGTAGTTTTGACTGAATGTTCATTGCTTTCATACCATCACAAAGTCAAAAGTCAAAAATTGTAAGTTGAGCCATCGTAAGTAGGGGATGAGCTGACTATGGGTCTTGCATGTGAAGATGCATCTATCCTTCTCTCAGCCACCTCTCTCTTACACAGGTATCATTTCTCCTGCATTCTCTGTTCTATTCTAATGAAGCACCTCATATTTTCCCCTTTATTTCTTGTTTTTCTATTATTCCATTCTGTGTAAGTCCCTCACATTTATCTTTGTTTACCTGTATCCAATTTTCTATTGAACCAATCCATTTGATATTTTATTGACTACATTTTTTATTTTCAGAATTTTTTTCTGCCTGTCCTTTTTTCCTAGCAACTTACCCTATTTTTATATTTTAAGTTTTASTTTCATTGCTTTAACTATTTTATTTTATTTTTTTTATTGGTTGTTCAAAACATTACAAAGCTCTTGACATATGTTTCATACATTAGATTCAAGTTGGTTATGAACTCCCATTTTTACCCCAAATACAGATTGCAGAATCACATCTGTTACACATCCACATTTTTACATAATGCCCTATTAGTAACTGTTGTATTCTGCTACCTTTCCTATCTTCTACTATCCTCCCTCCCCTCCCCTCCCTTTAACTATTTTAAACAAGATTATTTTCTATACCTTCCCAGGTCCTTCTTATCTGAATCTCCTAGGACTTAATAGTGACCTTATGTTATTTCTCTTGCTCATCTGGATTGTTTTCTTTCTTACTGAGGATTAAACCTGGGGCGCTCTACCATTAAGCTACATCCCTAGCCCCCCCCCTTTTTTTATTACAGGCAGGATCTCACTAAGCTGCCTAGGCTGGCCTCTAACTCATGATACTCCTGAGTTGTTGGGATTGCAGGAGTATACCATCACTACTGGACTATTTTCCACAGTGACTTTTCATTTGGGGTTGGATTGTGAAATCCCTTCCAGAAGTAATTAGTCTAAAGAATCCTACTGGACCTTGGTAGAGAAAGAGGGTCCCTTCAGAAGGGCTTTCCATTTGTTTCTATAGGACGCTCCCAGTTATCACTGTCCAGGGGATAATTTTTTTACTGAATTTCTCAGCTTAGAGTTAGTTTCCTTGATCATGTGGATAGTATCATTAAGTCCCACATTTTGTGGGAAAAGGCTATGGTTACTAATTCTCAAGAATCATTCATTTTTCTGCTTGAAGTCAATACAACATGGATARGTTTCCCTGACTTTTCTGGGGGCTGGTGGGCTGGTAATTTTCTGGCCCACCCTTTTGTGACTGGTAGCCCTTTGGGGATTCTGGCTCTGCTCAGAATCTTAGTTCCAACTCTGTTTCTTGTGGGGGCCCAAAGGTAGACACTTCTGTTCAAGCATAAACACTCCCTGTCCATGCACTAAAATCCAATCACTAAAATCTAAGTCACTAAGTCACCGGGAATTACAACTTTCCTTCTTTCTACCCTCTGAGTCAAACAGCTGAACATGATGGATGTCAGGAACAGAGAGGTCTGGGTTCGAATCCCAGTCTCCGCACTCACTGTGTGTTCCACCTGGGCAGGCCATTTAACATCTCTGAGCCTGCTTCAACATTTATAAAATGGCCATAACATAATAATGCTAATTTTATGGGTTAGTAATGGCAGCCGATGTTCTTCACCTCAGTGGTTAAGTGTGCAGTCCAAGAGTCAGCAGACCTAAAATCAGACATTGCTTTGTCACTTACAGTGGCCCTTGGTGAACTCTGTATTTTCATCTGTAAAATGGATACAATAATGTTGCCTACCTCACAGGGAGTTATAAAGAGAAAGGTGAAAGGATGTGTATAAATTGCGTAACACTTCATTTATCACAGCAGACACTCACAAGGGGCTAGTTATCCTTATTACTTTGGCATCTTTGGACTTACGCATTTTCTTGGGCTGCTTCTTCAGCCTTTGAGACCTTTCTGTAGCAATATATCATCTCGATGAGCAACCACAAGGTAAGGAAGACCAGAAGGATGTACATCATGATTTCTGAGACCACAGAAGTGAAGTCTTCCCCAGCTGCAAGAAAGAGAATGAGCTTCAGAATGTGTATGTCCCACAAACCCAGAGCTGTCTTTGGGGTTTTAGATCTAGGAAGCCTATTTTTTAAGTAAGACTTAAATAAGCGCTGAGTCTAAAGGAACTCAGGAACATGTTCTTTCCAACTCAGGAAGATGTCAGAGGAACTTCAAATCCTCTTGTCAGTTTTTTCACTGAACTTCATTGGCTATTCTGGAGATAGGGATGAGGGAGAGTGATGGATGGAAGAAGTAGAAGAACAGCAAAAGGAAACTTGGACTCAGAATTATATATACACACACATATGTACACACATATATAAATACACACATATTAAATATATGTGTATATGTATATAAGTGTATATGTGTRTGCATATGTATATATACATATGTATATATGTGTGTATATATGTCTATATATGTGTATACACACCCACATACTTAGGGAGGGAGGAAGGGAAGGAAGAAGAGAGGAGGAGAATTGGGTCCCAATTGTACTACTTACTGGTTTGGAAACAGTCATTTCCTGCATTGGAGTCTTTCTTAATTTGTAGAATGGGATAATAATTCACATCAGTCAGGGTTACTGTGAAAGTTACATTACCTAGTATATTTAAGAATATCTGTGTGGGCTGAGGGTAGATGCTTGCCTAGCATGGGCAGGTCCTGGGTTCAATCCCCAGCACCACACACCAACAGAAATGTAATAAGATGCAAAAATCAACACAAATGTAAGGCACATGTCTTATTTCAACCACCTATAACCTCTGAACAGCAGGTGATGGAGGTGATGTCCCCAGGGAGAGTGCATTGGACCAAATCTCCTCCATAAATTGAAGTACTTAATGAGTTTTTGTTGAATGAATGAATACAAATAAGTGTTGGTCTGTTTTGTTCCACGATCAACAAAAATGACAATTAGAACATGATACATGGCATATAGTCTGATCTAAAGGAAGGAATTAAATTCAGTTTGCAATTATCCACAGAGTCCAAATCATCCCCAAAGCTTTGTTGGTTTAAACAAAAGAAAAAAAGCAATGACTTCTAGCCATGAACTTCATCTCAGAGAAGGTGGAGCTGGAAGTCATAGATGTAGCTTGAGGCACGTGTCGTCTCCTGGCCTGGAAGAGGGTTCATATTTGTCTTAATTTATGTCTTAGAGACAGAAGGAGCTTAATCCAGGAAAAATTTAATGTGAACAAATAGAACCAGACAGATTCTCTGGGACAGGAATGGAAGAAATGGCATGTCACAGTGTCACAGTGGAGGGTGCACCTATGAGTCATGTGAGGGCAGTGAGTATTCAGTGTGGATAGCTGTCACGGAGTCACAGAGGCAAAAAGAAGGAAGAGGAAAAGTGGCAGGCAGTGGGGATGGTGGTGGAAGGAAAGGTGCTGTGGGTTAGCTTAATAAGCAAAAGATCTGGATCCTTCTAATGCTAATTAGCTCTTGTCTCTAAGCCAGCCCCTCCCTCACTCTTATGGAGCTCTGTTCTCCCAGGCACAAAATGAGAGGCTCCAGAACCGCACCCTCCAAGTACCCGAGGGGAGTCATTTTAACTTACACAAACCAGAAATCACTCAAACCCATTGCCCTCACATCTGCAAAGGTAGAATGGAGGAGCCTTGCTGGATTAAATCTCTAAGCTTCTTTCCAGCCCTACCGTCCACAAGGCTTTGTGACTCTGTCAACAAACTTGTTTTTCCTTCTCTTCTTACCTGAAGCGTGCTGCGGTGCCTGACAGGCTGACTAGCTTAGGTTTGTCACAAATTTCCATCAGATGTGYCCCCAGTGGTCTCTGGAGGCAAAGCCTGAGGCCTGAGAGAGCAGGAGGTGGAGACAGGAACCTTCCTAGGGTCTGGCAGGTACCAGCCAGCAGTTCCTGATGATGAACAGCAGGGGGCACCAGGCGCCCATCCCCAGGGAGGAGCAAGTGTAAACAGAGGAAGATAATGGAACTTTGGAACAGATGCATACCTCAGAGAGCTTCCCGCCCTGTCCCCTGCGTCTCACACAGAGGAGACAGGCTCAGAGAGGGGATGTGACTCATCACATCTCAATTCAGGTAGCCTGAGTGTTCTGCACATTCAGAAGTGATCTACCTTCTGCTTCAGTTACAGCGTCTCATTCTCTGTGGTTCACTCTCAACACTGAGGTCTTCACTTTACTGTTTTGACCACAGTATTTAAAAAGAAAAGAAAAGAAAAAAAAAAAACTTGTAGTCTGGAAGTTAGGATTCCCGGGTCCCTTTTCTAGGAAGAGCACTATCTTTAGCTTGATCTCTTCTTTCGTGCCCACACATCAGGGCCTATTCATCACCCTGCATCTCAGGGCAGAGATGATGCTAGCAACAGGCTGGAAATAGACCTCCTGAGAAAGAAAGGCATCTGACATGTGAAGAGGTACTTGCAAGGGGCTCAGAGCTGCAGTTCTCTGAGTCCTCTGACAGCAGCACCAAAGCAGAATGTGAGTGCCCTCAAAGTCCTCCCTCCAGGTTCTGGACTTGGAATGCAAGAGAAATATCTGAGTTAAGTTGCTGAGAGGACTTCCCACTCACAAGAAATCAGCTGAAAGGTCTGAAGACCTTAAAGACTGGAGAGCTATCAACTTGTCCCCTTCTCTCAGCTGAAGATGGATTTATGCGAAGATGTCACAGCTGAGGAAGGGGTTGCAGGTGTGATTATTGTGGAGAGACAGACAAAGATAAAAAGCTTGTCAAATTTTGGGCTCAGAGAGTGGTTCTCAAAGTGGGGTTCCCAGCAACAGCAGCATCCCCTAGCAAGTCAAAAAACCTGTGTACTAAAAAGGCCTGCAGAAGATGCTGAATGTTGAGAAACAATGATGTGGCAGTATATATTGCTTGTAGACAGGAGAGGATTTCTAGATAACATTATACAATTTCTTTGTGCCCACTGAATCAGGGATTCCACACAGGTTAGAGAAAAAGGCATCACTAAATCAGTGGCTCTAGGCTTTGTGGAGGTTGTCTTTTTTCTCTAGCAGACCAAGAAGAGGTCATTTTACTGTCATCTCCAAGCCTTCCTGCTTTGAGGAAGGGCACAGAAGGCAGGTGGTGGAGTGTTTGCAGAAAGCTGGCTGCTCAAGGAAGATGGGTACAAATACATGGGTTTTGCACTCTCCAAAGGCTCTCATATCCCCCAACCCCAACCCAAAGAGTAGGATGCCCCAGAGACCCTGTGCCCCAGCCTCACCCTCCTCAGTGACTCGGAGGGGAATCAGCCGCGTGGTCTTCACAAAAGGCCGATGGGCCTCRAACTCAAACTCTCGAGACACGTTGCAGGTGTAGAGGCCAGAGTCATTCAGAGTGACGTTGAGCACTGTGATGGACACATCTTGCAGGTCCTTGCTCCCATTCCACTGCAGGCGCCCTTGGAAGGGGCTCTCCACCTCCTGATGGCCATTTCGATACTCGTAGATCTGCAGGTTGAGGAGCAGAAGCAGGTAGAGCCAGGAGAAAAGGTAGGGCAGGACAGCCAGGATGGAATGGGATGGAGGAAAGGAGTGGGGAAATGAGAGGACCATGTGGCCAGAAGACCCAGAATATGGGGGTKCAGGGGAGGACACGGAAGGAAACAAAGACAGGAAGATGGACACAGGCAAATGGGAGGGGTAGGCAGGAAGAAGCTTGGCAGGAAAAATAAGGAGGAAAATGGGAGAACAACAACAAAAAAAAGGTGGAGAGGCATACAGAAGACCAGGAGGGGAAATTGAGAGAAAGAAAGTATTGGAAGGAGATAGAAAGGGAGCTCAAGAGAGAGTGTCATGGGACAGCCAGCAACAGAACAAGGTGAGGAGACCAAGAGAGGTGGTTTCATGAGCAATGAAGACATCTGACAGTCCTGAGCTTAAAATGTGATCCTCTGAGCTGGTACCCACTAAGGGACTGTGGGGAAATCTGCACCAGGCCATAGGAAGGGAGTCTAGGACACTGAATTGTGATCTGCCATCCGAGAGGCACACGTCACGGCTTTTGCTTTGCTTTGGGCTAAATTCAAATTGAAATCTGCTCTCTTAAATGTCATTTCTCAGGCACCTTTCCTTCTGACATGACACTTGTGTTCTCTATAGCTRTGCTATTCGTTCTAGTCTCCACTAGCCACATGTGGCTGCTTAAATTCAAATTCCTAGAAATCGAATGCAAAATTCACTTCCTCAGTTGCACTTTCTCCTCATTTTGGGGAGGCCAAGAAGAAGGGTGGGCAGCTTGTGTATGACTGGGGCCTGTTGTCTACGGGGGCTTTTGGATCTGGCTAAGACCTCCAGCCTCCTGTAAGTGGGGCACTGGCTTCAGGGCAGCTTCACTGATGTGTCACTATCAAGTCTGAGCCAGGCTCAGGAAGTCTCTGCTGGTTCCTATATTGGCACCTGAGTAGAGCCAACCTACACCAATATGGCACATAGAACACAGGTTAAAGCGTTAAGAAGAAAGAGAGCAAGCAAAACTCAACTTCACCCTGCTGTTTGTTGTCTCCATTAAAAGTCTTTGTAGAGAAGTGCCCCCAGGAAGGCAAGACAGAACTAGACAGAGGCTTTAAAATCTGCAGTCAGACCACCTGGGTGAAGTCTGAATTCTCTTACTTAGGTAACATGTTTGAACCTCAATTTCCTCATTTCTCTCTCTCTCTCTCTCTCTCTCTCTCTCTCTCTCTCTCTCTCTCTGTATGTATGTATAGATTTTTATGTAGGTATCTGTGTAGGTATCTGAGTGTATATATATATATATATATATATATATATATATATATATATATACACTCACACATACATCTTTTTCTCTGGGAAATACTTAATATAATGCTTACTATATTCCAGGAATCATTTTAAATGCATTAAGAATTAGAACTCGTAAGTCCTGGTAACAACCCTATATAAGCTAGCTATAATTTATGTCCCCATTTAAAAATAAAGAAACCAAAGCACCAAGAGGTTGAGCAACATGACCTGGACCCAGAGCCAAATAGCATAGGGTAAAGCATCAACCCCAGGCAACCTGCTCCAGAGTCAGTGACAGTATCAATGATGGTCATCTCTAAGGTAGTATTCCAAACATGCAACAACCACCTTATTAACTTAATCCATGGGATGGTGAGGAAGACAAAATGGTTGGAACAAACCAACCAGGACTGACATTGCTCATGGCACAGGTACAGAGTCAGGAGCAAATCCTTTAGTTTAAAATCCTTTTGCCAGGAGCAAATCCCTTGGTTTCCAGATCAAGGGGGAAGCCTGGGGATTCCCGGCGGGAAGGATGGAGGCATGACCCTGGGAGACAGGTTACAGCGAGTCTCCACTACAGAGCTAGCTAAGTCCGCTATGTACCTATGTGGTTGCACGGGGACACCAGCTGAATATCAACCTTGGTCATCCCTGTCATTCTTATTTCACGGGGATGGTGAGAGTTCAAAGAGCTGTGTTATTTCACATCATGATGCTTCATGTTCTTTCAGTTTCTTTACTAATTTAGTCCATCTCATAGGATAGTGAGGAAGACAAAATGGACATACTTGCAAGAGGCCTCACAGGGTACCTAGCCTAGAGGAGGCTCTCAATAGGATTTATTTCTTTGTCCTCCTTCCCCTGCCTGTAACCAGGGCTGCTTGTGGCTGGACAAGCTCCCTCCCTTTCACAAAAGCGGAGCTAACTAAGCCTGGAAGTTATCTCCTCCTTAGGAGCTKTCAGTGCTCAGAAGAAAAAGAGCCAGTGAGTGTTAGATCCTCATCTCACAGACTGTCAGGAGCCAGGCACACAACAGCACAGACCGGTAAAAGAAAGGCCAGAGCCAGCAGTCGGACATACAAGAAAATCTTTTCCGCCCTCGGGCCTGTAGAACCACTCCACCACCGTGGTGGCCTCCACCTCCTCCCTCTTCATGCAGGAGATGCAGCGCAGCTTCATGGGGGTTCCCTGGACAGCCTCCGTCTCYGAGGGCACTTCTACACACACAGGGAAGCAGACGCTGACTGGAGGGAGCACAGAGGGCAGGGAAGGGACAGCGGGCAGTGGGAAGGGGGGCCACCAGAGGGAGGCATTGGAGGACAAGGAGGGAGAGAGAAACGACAGAGAGGAATCATTAGATAAAATYGAAAATACCTGTTTCCCTGAGTCCCCAGCCGAGTTCTCTAAGCATACACATATGCTCAGAACAGGAGCAGAGCAAGACGAAGGAGATGTGAATGACCCAGACAGACGTGGACTGAAAGCCTTCTCCTGGAAGCAATGAAGATGCAGCACAGGACAGTCTTGGTTCCTACCCTCAAAGTCTTAAARTCTAGCGGGGAGATAGGGCATCGAGGGACCATCCACCCACCCCATCGTCACCCCAGCGTTCACTGAAGTCCACTCGATGCCAGTTCTATGCTAGGCTGGAGGTGGAAAGATGAACAAAATGGTAACCACAGCCTCAAGGAATTTATAATCTAGAAGGGAACCTGTTTCTACCTATGATAAACATATTCCTTCTGGGGAAGAGAGAAGAGGCAGTGAGTCTGAGGTTAGAAAGGTAGATGGACAGATCCCTGCTGTGAAAATCTCTGTGTGTCCTTTATAGTATGAGACATCAAATACTCTAAAGGCACAGAGATGTAGCCACATCTGTGTTTTAAGAAACCTCTGGGTGATTCTGACACTTGGACGTTGGAGCAGCAGTGGGGAACTTGATTCTCTGACCACTAGGCTAGAACAAGTCTCTCTGTAGAGGGAGACTAGGTTAAAATCTAGAGAGATCTGATTATGGGACACTTTACATGCCACATGGAGGTTTAGACTTATGTTATGGTTCCTGCCTTCTAGATAAAGTCCATTTCAAGAAAAATATATCATATTGTAAATTCAGAAAATCAAAAGTGGGACACAGCTGTCAACAAAAACAAGAGCGAATGTGGGTTGCATTAACAGATGTACAGTGTGCAGAAGGAAGGAGGTGCAGTTCTTCTGCAGTGTTCAGAACAAATCTGGACCGCTATGATCAGTTCGGGATGCCATATTTTCAAAAGGAAACTGTTTGATGAGTGCGTGCCCAGAGATGAACAAGATGGCGAGGGGCCCACAGACAAGCCTAAAGTCTGATAAGGAATGAATGGAAGGACTCAGGGTGGTAAGCTGGGCACGGAAAATATCTATCTTCAAATATTTGAAGACTGGCAGGTGGAAGAGAATTTGATTTTACCCAACTCCAAAGTTTGTAAGAAAAAATATGTTTATCATAATAAAAATGGATTTTCTAACATTAGGATGGTTTATTAATACAAAAAAACTATCTGGTATGGGAGTTTATCCTCATGGTTTGGAAGATTCAAAAATAAACTGGCCACCAAGAATTCTTATATCAGGACTCCCGAAGTCTCCTTCCGAAACTGCCCTCTCATGAACTAATGATACAAATAGAACCTCTAAGAAGAAAAATAAACAACACACATTGACATTTAAACCAACTAGTTCATCATTAATGGTCAGCCTGTCCATCTACTGAAAGTTCAGAACTATAGGAGATTAAAATGAGACTGACAGAGACTAATTTTGAGTCAAAAATGTGTGGGCTGCAGTTATGGCTCAGTGGTAGAGCGCTGGCCTCGCACRTGCAAGGCCCTGGGTTTGATCCTCAGCRCCACATAAAAATAAATAAAATTAAATTAAAAAAAATTAATACTGTGGTTGGTTGAGAAGACAACAGATTTTACTTCCATTTTTAAACTTAAGAGTTTAAAAACTAAATGACACTATAATTAAGGTTTAAACAGTCAACATAAAATAGATGTTAATTGGTTTTCAGTCTCTCAGGTAAGCTGGGCTTGTGTTATCTTGAGTTTGCACAAGGTCCTCGATGGTTTGATAGAGAGAGGGTCCACATCTAGGTAAAACGGATCAGAAACACTTTCAGCATGTGATGAGTTTAAAGTCTTGATCACAATCCTGCTTAAAAAAAAAAATTTAAAAAGAAAGGTATTGTTTGTGCAAGTTTGTGAGTGTACAAAGGGGCAGAGGGCATGCAGCAAGAACTCTGTGTAGCACAAAATCTTGGAGTCCATTCATATTTAACAAGAGGTGATAAAGGCAAGTTCAGTGTCAATGATCTCAGAAGCAGGACAGGTAGAGTCCCAAGGAAGACATGGTTATGACTATAGAGGTAGGAAGATAATGGTATTTGGCTCCTGAAGGAATGAGTTTGCTCCACAAACCTTTGAGACTCAGTATCTTAGGCACTAAAATGCTACAAACAATATCTGTGTAGTGTATAGACCATGGAAATTCTATGGATTTGTATGAATGAATTTTATATGTCACTTATTAATGTTATTTTATCCTGCATTTGTTTTCTTATTTATTTATTTGTTTGTTTTTGTTTGCTTATTTATTTGAAAAAAATGTATTGAATGCCCACTGTATGCTGGGCATTGTTCTAAGCACAGAATCTCAGTTCTCATGGAGCCAAATTCCAGGGTAAGAAGAATGAAAATGAACTACATTATATTGTAATAAGTGCTGTGAGAAAAATAAAGCATAGGAGAGGAGGGAGGAAGGGAGAGTGAATGTACAAAGTCGTTGGAGGTGACCTCACTGAGAAGGTTAACATCGGGCAGTCACTGAAGGAAAGAAATGATGGAATGAGCCACAGGGACGCTCACTCGTGTAAAGTCATGCCAAGCAGGGGAAGGAGCAACTTGAGGGTTCAAGGGTCCAAAGGATTGTGCTTGTCATGTTTACTACACAGCAAAGACAGCAGAGAGCAATCACTGCTCCTGGGGTCCTGGATAGTACACTGCAAAATAGCCACAAAGCCCTCCCTTCTTATTTGCTTGCACTTTGCAATATGACCTCCTGTTCCTTCTGTGAAGAGGTCAAGTCTAYTCTCCCCTCCTGAGTCTCCAGCTCACCACCTCCTTTCTTTCTATTGAAAGCAAGCTCTTTGCAAAGAGCTAGCAATGTGGGAAATATAGCAAAGGAAGTAAGCATAACGGGGATGAGAGAGGTAAGGGAGGTCAGGGCAGGATTGCAGCCGGATCTGCAGGCCACATTAGAACTCTTGACTTTTGCTTAGAGTGACATGGAGAGCCCTGGAGGCTTCTGAGTGGAAGCATGGTCAGATCTGATTTGTACTAAATTCATGATCAGCCTGATGTGTTGAGAATAAATTGGAGAAGTGAAGGGGGACAAGAGTGGAAGCAGAAAGAACAGATAGGAAACTGGCACAGTAGTCAGATCGGAAGATGATTTTGCTAAATGAAGATGATARAAGAGATAAAGGGGTTTGAAAGGGAATCATCTGCTGGATTAACACTGTTGAGTGGGTGAAAGAGGAGTTCTTTAGTGACCAAGTAGATGGGGTGGCCAAGACAGGAGCACAGTTGGGCCATTAATAGTTAGGGGAGGGAAGGTGGGATCTAAGCAGACAGGACAGTGAATGTGTAACAGCAGCCTGTGCAGCAGTCCTTCTCTTTTCAGTGATGATAATCCAAAGTATCTTCAGAAGGCCCAGGGCTGCCTTTCTCCTGGCCAAAGTCCACACTGCTCCTGGGGTCCTGAATAGTACATTGCAAAATGGCCACAAAACTCTCTCTCCTCGTTGGCTTGCCCTGTGCAATATGACTTACTGCTCCTTCTGTCAAAAGAAAAATCTATTTCTCCACCCACAAGTCTACAGTGCACCATTATGTAACGCTGTAGGTATGCTGTAGGTATCCAAGGAAAGATTGTACATATATATGGCAGGAGCTCAACTCACATTGCTGCCTATCAATGATAAACTCCTGGAATAATATTGGCCAAATCATTTGACCTTTGGACTCTTCTTCAACTTCCATAATAATAATGAAAAAACTCAAGAGAAAGAACACTATGATGCATTCATTAATGATGATTATATTCAACTCATCTGTCACCTCCATATTTTTCTCTTCCTTGGCCATTGTCACACTGCCTTTTCTGGCTTGCTCTAGAATGCTTCCTTTGCAATAAGGTGATGAAGGTTTTAATTAAAATGTAAATAATTTCCGAAATGGGGTCACAATTGCAATTAGTTTCAGATGTTWACTCCTGAGGTCATCAAATTAGCCTGTCATGCAGCAGGGTCCTGAAGGAATGAGGTCTAGGAAGGGCTATTAGGGGAAGAGGAAAAATTCCCCAACACAGGGGACCAGTGGGAGAGTAAACCTGAAGAAGTGCACAGAAGGCAACAGGAGCTAAGGGATGGGTGAGGCCTTGGGAAAGGTGATGGCATGTGGAGGGGGAGGGAGGGAAGGATCAGAGGAGAAATGCAAGGACAGCAATTGTGCACAGCTGCACATGACCACAGAGAAGCCACAGAAGATTGAAGTCAGAAGACTGGATTCTCTAGCSGTCCTTTCCTCTCCCTAAGCTTATTTTCTCATCTCTAAACTGGGAATAATATTCCTTTCCCTTCAGTACCCTGTAGAATTGATACGGGGACCAAAAGAAGTAATGAATTGAAAATTGCTTTGTAAACTGTGAAGCATCAGGCAAGTGTAGGTTTAAAAATTCTTATTATTAATATTATATGATTTATTAAGAGAATAAAGGAGCTTTTTTTCAATACATGCAGCAAGTAAATGGAGAAAACCCTTTCCATTCACACTGCCATCATGTAAAAAATCAGCTTGAAAAAGAGGGGACATGTCTAGCTAAATGCTTTCCAGTATTATAATTACATGCTAATAAAATAAAATTGCATTTGTGAGTGAGGCTCTTTCTCTTACATTTAACAATGAGGCATCCTGAACTCCTCTTTACCTCCTGCAGTTTCTCAGTCTGGTGAACCAATGTTCATGTTGAAAAGATGCCGAGAATGAGCAAGGAGAGATGTAATGTGGTCAGATTTTCCAAAGTTTTGGGGGGTGGAGGAGGGAATGGGCACTCCAACAATTCTAGCAATAGTCTGTAAACATTTCCCCATCATTCAGTTGTGAAACTGAAAGGAATATTAGATGTCATCTATGACAACTTCCAAACTTTACATATAAAGAAACAGATTCTCTTAGGTTGTTACATAGTATGAGAGAAGCAAAGGAGCAAGTCCTAGTCAAAAAAAAAACAAAAAACAAAAAAAAAAAACCACCTGGACTACAGTATGCTTTCTCATTCCAATGGAATTCAGACAGGAATGCTAAAAACTTAAAAGTCTGGGAAGAAAACCTATGCAGACTTCACCCCAACCCTTCTCTACAACTTTAGCTTTATCCACACTCTCTCTTATCCTGCCAGGACTATAACCACTCCTAAGCCTCACAACCCTAGCATTTCCCTGGAGCAAATCTCAGCCTTAATCTTCAAGGCAGGTGAGCTCATTGGCAACCTATTATGTCTGCTTCATCTCTAAGTCTGGTGTATTCCACTGGGAATGGATGGCAGTAGGACTGCCCTTGGGCCTGGCATTACTCTCCCTCCTCATCCTTCTTAGCCTGTCTCATTAGGCTTTTTTTTTTTTTTTTCAGCAGGAAGCTTGGTTCTGCCTTTGGTCACATGCAAAATCCAGATAATGCTGGCAGCCAGAGTTAGCCCCAGAGACTGGACAAAGATACCAAGGCAAAAAGTCAATTCTCATCAGCATGTCTGCCACTGCACAGGCAGAATGAGTTTCATGCCAAGCATGGGAGAATAATCCAGTTGTCTACTTTTAGTCAGGGGGTGGGCACAATCCAATTATCCTTTTTATTGATTATAGGATGGAAGAAGGTAGCAAAGATCATGTAAAGCAATTTACCAACTAAAGAGACCCTGTTTGATTTAAGAATATAATAAGAGACACCAAGGCTGAGATGCCTAGAACTGCACACACATGCACACCCACATGTTCACACCAGTCCATTCAGATGTCTATACTAACATGTTCAGACACATGCTAGTGCACATTCAGACACTGAGACTCAGAGACACAAATATCATCTCTATCACATAGTAAGACATTATCACATAGACTCTTAACTCCGTTTGTACACATTCAGGCACCCCACTTCAGGCCCATCCCTTGACATAGCTCTGCTCAGCCTTACTGTTGTCAAGTGTAGGAGTAACTTATTTGGAGGGGGGCAGGTCATCTCAGTATCTCACAACTGGCAAGTTTATTCATCAAAAAACCCAGCTCCCCAAACATCAAATCATCTTAGCTCCACAAGTGTACCAAAACAAAAACAACAAAAACATTTCCGCGTTTGTCTATTTATCTAATACATAGCAGTAAATGGCTTAAGCCTGTTTCCCCCTATTCCTTACCAAATTAAGCAAATAGATCAACAATCAAAACACTTTCATTCTCAAAATCCATGCACCCAGCGTTTGTGTTGTTGTTGTTAACATAGAGAAATGAATCTGAAGACCCAGTGATCTTTCCAGGAGGATTGATTCCTCATTGAGAAATGAAATGTGACTGCAAGCAAGATTTCTTATAATGAACGTGGCTATGTTCCCTTTCAGTAAAGGGGGTTGGGGGGGGGGACTTAAGAATGATCACGAAAGGAGGAGGAGCGAAAGAACCACCAAAAAAGGTTGGGGGAATAAAGCTGCAGGACAGCGGGGAGGTGCCTTTCCAATCTTAAAATTCCATTCTCATGGAACCCATTTAGATCTCCATGTCTGGCAGACATGTACAGAGGGAAGCCAACCAGAGCTGCTGCTTCTTTTTTTTTTTTTTTTTTTTTGTCATCAAGGACATCAATAAGTGTTATTATCGTTAGCATGATTACTGTTATTTGCATCTCGCATGGCAGGGTGCTGGCTGGTACTTACCCCAGTAGATGAGAACGAGAGAAACCAGGGGAAACAATCTGTTGAAGGCAGGCATCTTTTTCSGCGGGTGTTTTCCGGGGCTAAAGGGAGAGATTCCCTCAAAGACTGCGCCCTCGGATTCTTTCGAGGAAACCCTTTGGGACGGATTGCCCAAAGAGGGCGACTTTCTGACTGAACGAAGGGCGCCGTGCCTGGGGAGGCTCTGCTGCCGTTGGAAACCGGGAAGGGGGAAGGGGAGGTCCCAGCTCCAACCTATCCCAGCAGAACCCAATTCGAGGGAGCGATCAGCAGCGCCGCGCACTCTCCCGGAGCGGGTTGCGGGATCCGGCTCAGGACCACGGACAGTAGCTTCCCCGCCCACCCCGGAACTTCACATTCCAGTGGCTCCCCCGCGTTTCTGGCTTGCGCCCAGGGCAAGCTCAGCTCGGAAGGGAGTCGCACGGCTGGCCCTAGGAGGCTGGGCTGTCGAAGGGGTCCATGTTGATTCACCTCTCGCTTCCCCTTACAACAGCTAGCAGGATCCACCCAGACCTGGGAGCTCTGGCTTCTTCCACCCGGATCGCCTTCTTCGGCTGGGCGTGTCCCTGCACCCGAAGCCACTGGGGCCTCCCGTCTGGGATACAGAGTTCGTCCCACGTCGGTCTGTACACCAGGGCCTCGGCTCCCCGGGAGATTCAGAGGTGCCAGGAAAGAGACGGAACCTCCTGTAGGGCTGGCGATGTCGGCGGTGGAGGCTGGGTAGAGAAAAGTGCCCCTGCCTTGGAGCTCGCCCCAGGATCACGCGGGGTCCCGACCCGGGTAGCAGGCGACCCGCGGCCSCTCTCCAGGCCCCCAGAGCTGTGTATGCTCTGTTAGCCTTGACATGCGCAGGCAGCTCTCCGCCCCCACCCCCACCAAAGACCCACCCCCTTGGGCACACGGTCCCCACCCCCAAACAGGCGTGCCCCTCCCAGGCCGAGCGCGCCGCCGGAGCGGGGGCGGAGCCCCGCGCCGCGCAAACACCTCCAGCCCAGGAGGTTTCTCATCTTGCTGTCACTCCCCGGGTCTCCCTCTTACGCCTCAATACCTCTCCTAAGCAGCCGCGCTCTGCCTCGCACCAACTCACACACTCCGGGAGACAAGCCCACTCCTGCTCCAGCAGATATGCTTGCCTCCAGCTCCGGGAAGAGGAGGGCCAAATCTCATTCAGGCAATGATGTCATGTGCAATGTCCACATTAAATGGCTCCTGGCTTCTTTCCTCCTACCCCATCCATCCCCTCCAGCTTTCCCAGTTCAGCCTCCGTCCACCCTTGATTAATTGGTTCCCAGAACAAAGAATGCAGCAAGATAATCCCTACTTAGGGCAAGCGGGTAGGGGTGAGACGCACCTGTGCAAGTGTTTACTTCATCTCCAGAGAGGTGATCCAAGTGTCAGCGCAGGGGTAAGCATTGGGAGTTGGGGGTAAGAGGACTGCTCTTCCCTTCCGAGGTTTCTCGCAGTCCTTATAGCTCTAATCGCTTTTTCTTTTTCTTCCCTCTCTCTTTCCGTAACCCTCTTTCTTTCCTTCCCTCCCTCCCTCCTTCCTTCCTTGCTGTCTTTCTTTTTTCTTACAGATCCTGGTTTGGTGTCTTCCAACTCTTAGCCACTCCCTCGTTCTAGCAGCTGCTTGAGTGTCGCTGCCCAATTTCTGGAAGGGAAACCTGAAACTTCACCCTCAGTTATAAACCCAAGTTGACATAACAGGTTAGGAATGCCTGGAACTGAAGTGAAAGATTAATAGAGAATGATTGGTACAAAAGCCTGCCCCCAGCTACCTTATTATTCTCCTAGTGTTCTTTTGCTAAAAGGGGAAGTTTAACACTGATATTCCAAAAGGGAACACAGAGTAACAGCTGACTGTAAGTGAACCACTCACAGGAAATGCTCCCTCACAACATATCACACACAGCAACAGAACATCTAAATAAGATATCCCTGGACAGACGCCACTGGGCCATAAAATCTATGTTGGTTTGAAGACCAGCCTTTGAAGCATATTATGTTAGATTTGGATGGGAAGTTAAAGTTGATTTAATTCAACTTCCTTTCCAATACATAAATCCCCTCAAGAACGTTCCTGAGGAAGGTCCTTGACTTTTTCCTTGTAAGAAGTTATTACTTCACAAGTTTGTCACTTTAATGTTGAATTCTGTAACTCTTCCTCCCCAAACTCCATTAAATGTTTGTAATAATGTTTTCTCCTTAAGGGAGCCGTACTACCCACCCCCACAACCACTGCAACAGCAAAAGTGGTTTGTTGTTGTTGTTGTTGTTTGTTTGTTTGTTTGTCTGTTTTGGGGATTGGGCTGTTTCCTTAGTTTCTTTAAGTGAAAGCCCTAATTCTTATGGTTTCCAACCTTTAGCCACCCTGGTCACTTTCTCAGGAGGTTTTTAGTTGATCACATGATTGGCCAAATGACTGATGTTTCCTATGTGGTCTCATAGGACAGATCCAGTGGAATTATGACCAGTTTTGCTTTAGAGAGTGTATGTATTAAATACATTTGAATTGCATTTACATTATAATGATCTTATGTTCAGTTAAAATCCCAAAGCATCTTTCCTCAACCTGGTGTAGAGTCAGTTTGAACTTGTGCAGGGTATTTTAGAAAAAATTTTAATGAAACTTTTCATTTACTGCTATTAACATTTATTAGTTGTTTGCTTTAACCTTATAAGTAAAAAAAAAAAAAAAAAGATTCAGGGTGATGACTGATTCTTCACTGCTAATGTGAAGTAAATTTTTGAACTGGTAAAGTTTTCCCCTAAGGTGACCTGCCTACTTTGCAGAATGCCTGGGAATGATCTGTCCATTCCCTATACACTAAAAAGTAAATTGTTCTATCTCTTTATACTTGCAAGGAACATAAGTAGTCCCTAGCATAGGTTTCCCTTTGACATCTTTATAGCATTAAAGTGACCAATTAAAAAAAWTTATTAATTGCAAGGAAGGATCACATTTATTGAATTCTGAATCAATTACCCAATATATCTATCTTCTTTAGCTTAATTTTTGTCTCTTTGACAATCACTTGGTCTCCACATCAGGTTTTTAAAACAATGAATAGCAAAAACAAAAACTAAGAGTCCTTTGACATGCTCCTAAGGCTTCAGTTTAGCTTAACAATGAGCTACTAATTAAAGTTCTTTAGTAGGTTGCTCAATCATAAATAAATACCCAAACATATCTTCTTACTTACATAAGTACAGTATGATACATTTTGAAAACTTAGAGGAATAATAAAACATAGGAAAGAAGTAGGATCAATGCTTTACTTTTACATGGAAACAGATTTTTAGTAAAACAGTTCAAGTCATTTCTAGGAGGAATTAATCTTTTTCACTATGTTTCAAACTATTTTTATCCAAACAAACAGGGATATTTAAAGGGGGAAATCTAGGGTTAGAAATTTAGAAAGAATTGTGATTTAATTTCAATCATCTTGATATTCTATGTTTTTATTGAAAAAGTCTCATCAAGATTGAAATAGGGTGACTGAGATATTTTTAGTCCAATAATTCTATCAAGTGCCATACACTAATCACAGCAGGCTTAGATTGGCTTTATTAATTTYTTAATTTTTTTAGATATACAGATGGTAGAATATATTTTCACATATTATACATACATGGAATATAACTGTTTCTATTTAGGATCCCATTCTTGTGGTTGTAGATGATGTGGAGTTTCACTGGTCATGTATTGATACATGAACAGAGGAAAGTTGTGTCTGATTCATTCTACCGTCTTTGCTCATCCTATCCTTCCTCCCTTCCCTTCATTCCTCTTTTTCTAATCTAGTGATCTTCTATGAATGGATGTGGGAGTAAGAGTAGTATCCAAGGAGTGAAGAGCTGAAGCCAGAATCAATATAAGGAACAGAAAAAGAATCATCAGAGAAATAGGAGAAGGTCCAGCAAGATGCAGTACTACAGTGGCCAGGGAGAAGGGGCCTCAAGACTTGAGGGACATTCTCCTCCTTCGAGGAGATTCCAGCTATTAATGCTCAGAGACGGAGGAAGAGGGTGGTACAGAGCCTGAGGGGTTCAGAGGTTTTGAGATGGAGGCCACAAAAATGACTGATAAAAGGAACAGTGGCAGCTGAGATAGGCAGAGAGAGGTTAGCTTCCCAAGGGAAGAAACTTATTTCTCTGCAGTTACTGGGGAGGAATGAGAGGCAGCAGTAGTGCCAGTGATATTATGAGTAAAAAAGGGGACATTAAGATGCACACATGTTGGCCTTGGTACAGCAAGAAGCCATATTATCCCTTGAGTTTGGTGGTAGGGAGGCCCAGGAAAACATGGGGATAGGGAAATGGCCCAAATCACTGGAAGTTCTTTCTTGAAACATAGAAGAATATTGAGAAGCATTTCAGGATCAATACACACCTGAAATAAGAGTCAGGATGCAGAAATCAGAGCCCAACCTAGGCAAGTCAAGTGACCTGCTTTTTGTATTCGAAGTGGATTTTCCTAAATACTGCACACTCCAATGGGACAAGGAGACAGAAGAAACATGTTTACTTTAAACTGTGGCCAGTGAGCACATACAGGATTGAAAGATATCAGCTCCCYTCACCCCAGTGATTCCCCCATCCTTCCAGCCAGCTGTGTGGCATTGTCACCAGCCAAGGGAAGTTTGGGATTAGGACAGGAAGCAGTGACATTATGATTAGACTATGTAATCCCTTCCTGGATTTTCACATGGTAAGAAGCTGATGAGTAATATGGGGCCTCTCCCAAAATGTTTGTTGAAATATATTGAATTTCTTTTTAAAAAATTCTTTATAGTTGTATACAATTTTTTTTAATTTTTATTTTTTATTAGTTGCTTGAGACAATACAATGATTTTGACATATCATACATTTGATTCAATGGGGTATGAATTCTCATTTTTCCACATGTAAAGATTGCAGGATCACATTGGTTATACAGCCACGTATATACATACAGCAATACTAGTGTCTGTTGTATTCTGCTGCCCTCCTCCTCCCCCTCTCCTTTCCCTCCCCTCCCATCACCTCTCTCTACCCAATCTACTGTGACTCATTTCTCTCTCTTTTTTTCCTTCCCCCTCACACCATCATATATATATATATTTTTATAACAATGAGGGTCTCCTTCCATCTTCCATGCAATTCCCCTTCTCCCTCCCATTCCCTCCCACCTCTCTTCCCTGCTTAGTGATAATCTTCTTCTCATATACATTTTTTATATAAAATTTTTAAGTTATATATTTCTTTATGGTTATATACAATTTTTTAAAGTTATGTATTTTTTTAAAGTTATATACACCCTGACAATCCCCAAAGCATGGAACACAGTTCAGTCCCCAGCACTCCCCAGCCCCTCTCCTCCATCCTGCTCCCTCAACTCCACTGATCCCTTTTCAGTTACAGTGTATTTTTCTTATTTTTATTTTTAATTTAGGGTCCTCTAGATACACCTGATGTCAGGACCCACCATGCCACATCCATGTCATTATCCATGACATGTACATATAAAAATTTGGTCAGATTCATTCCACTGTTCTTTGCCATCCCCCTTCTTCCTCCTCCTCAATCCCCTTCATCTACTTTACTAATCTTTCCTCTATTTTGATGACATTCCCTCTCACTTTTTTTGTACCTCTCCCCCTATTTTGGATTGGCTTCCCCATTATCAGAGAAAACCTTCGGCCTTTGACTTTTTTGGGATTCTCTTATTTCCCTTAGTGTAACAGTCTCCAGTTCCATCCATTTACCGGCAAATGCCATAATTTCATTCTTTTATGGCTGAGTAATACTCCATTGTGTGTGTGTGTGTGTGCGTATATATATATATATATATATATATATATTACATTCTCTTTATCCACTCATCTGTTGAAGAGCCCCTGGTTGGTTTCATGGCTTGGCTATTGGGAATTATGTTGCTATAAACATTGATGTGGCTGCATCATTATATTATGCTGGTTTAAAATCTTTTGGAAATATACTGAAGAGTGGGATAGCTGAGTCAAATAGTGGTTTCGTTTCTAGTATTCTGAGGAATCTCCATACTATTTGTCAGAGTGGTTGTATTATCTGCAGTCCCACCAACAGTGTATGAGTGTACCTTTTCCTCCACATCCTTGCCAACATTTATCATTATTTACATTCTTGATAATTTGTATTCTGACTGGAGTGAGATGAAATATTGATATAGTTTTGATTTGCATTTCCCTAATTTTTTTCATATATTTGTTGACCATTTATATTTCTTCTTTTGACAAGAGTTTGTTTAGTTCTTTGCCTGTGTATTCATTGGTTGTTTTGTTTTTGTGGGTTTTTTTTTTTTTGGTGTGTGTTAAGTTTTTTAGTGCTTTATATATCTTGGAGATTAATGCCCTATCTTTTATTCTGTAGTCTCTCTCTTCACACTCTTAATTGTTCCTTTGCTGTGCAGGAACTTCTTAATTTGATGCCATCTCACTTATTAATTCTATATTTTCTTCTAGAAGTAGCAGGGTTTCTGTATTTAAATCCTAGGTCTTTGGTCCACTTTGAGTTGAGTTTTGTGCAGGGTGAGAGATAGGGTTAAATTTTATTCTACTATGTAAGGATTTTCAGTTTTCCCAGCACCATTTGTTAAAAAGGCGATCTTTTCTCCAACATGGGTTTTTGGCACCTTTGTCTAGTGTCACATAACTGTATTTATATGGATTTGTCTCTGTTTCTTCTATTCTATGCCAGTGGTTTAGTCAGAGCAATCAGGCAAGAGAAGGAAATTAAAAAGATACAAATAGAAAAAGAAGAGCTCAAATTATCTTTGTTTGCTGACAACATAATCCTTAGTTTGAAGACCCAAAACACTCCACCAGAAGATTTCTAGACCTCATAAATGAATTCAGCAAAATAGCAGGATACAACATCAACACTCATAAATCCTCCAGTGATGAGTCTGCTGGAAAAAAAAATAGGAAAACCATCTCATTCACAATAGTTAAAAAAAATACATGTGAAATAATCTAACATAAGAGGTGAATGCTCTCTACAATGAAACCTATAGAACACTAAAGAAAGAAATCAAAGAAGACCTTAGAAGATGGAAAGATCTTCCATGTTCTTGGATAGGCAGACTATTCTTGTCAAATGGCCATACTACCAAAAGTGCTATAGAGTCAACTCAATCCCCATCAAAATTTCAATGACATTCTTCACAGAACTAGAAAAATCAGTTTTTCTGAAATTCATTTGGAAAAATAAGAGAGAATAGCCAAAGCAATCTATAGTGAGAAGACTGAAACAGTAGGCACCATAATACCTGACCTCAAATAATACAAGAGCTGTAGTAATAAAAACAGCATGGTATTGGCACCAAAACAGGCTTGAGGACCAATGTATTGAATTTCATTTGAATGATTAGGAAATCACAGGTTTCCTGACACCCAAGAGGGCCGTGCCCCCATAACAACAGTGCAGTGAAGAAGTCAGTGTCACCCTGATCTTGACAAATCTCGAGGAAGCCCATGCTTATGTCTCAGGGAGAATGCTGTCGGTGGTTGGTTTTGATAAGCCAAACATGTGAATAAAGAAAGTATAATTGGTGATTAAGTACTTTAAGTTTCCCACAAGCAAAGTTATATTTCAAGTATTGCTAATAGTAGCATAATTTTTTAAAAATCTTTTTATTTGTTCTTTTTATACATGATAGTAGAATGCATTTTGATATATTATGCACACATGGATACAACGTCCCATTCTTCCAGTTGTACATGATGTGGAATTACATTGGCTGTGTATTCATAGACGAACATAGGAAAGTAATGTCCAATTCATTCTACTATCTTT